ATGGAAGGTCTCTTCTGTGACCAGCGTGAGGCATGCCTCTTACTTCCTCTGGGGAGGGTGGGCAGGGACACAGGGCCTGCTGCTAATGTCTCCCTGTATTTGTGTGACCGTAGCCAGAGGGCAGCTCAAAGGGCAGCAGTGGCCCATCTAAGAGTCCTCAGCTTTCCACCAGCCCTGTGCCCTCCGAACCTCCCCAGAGAGCCAAGAGCCCCGCGTCCACCCCGGCCATGAACGGCCCGGCAGCTCCCTCAGCGGACGGCCCCAGCGAGGAGGCCCAGGGCCTGTCCCGGAAGAGGGTGGCGAACGCAGTGAGGAAGGTGGTGAGCAGGGTGCTGCCTGGCGAGGAGCCTGGGAGCGCCAAGGAGCCTCCGGCCAGAGGGGTCCGATCCCCTGAGCACCCGGCTCGAGGCAAGAAGGGAGAAAAGGCAGCCCCTGGCCCCAAGCCGCCCCCACCTCCTGTCCCCCCTGCTCCGCCTAAGCCCGAAGCCAAGAAGGAGGCGCCCAAAGACGAGCTCTCCGTGGGCCTGCGGAGCCTGATGTCCCGGGGCCGGGGCAAGGACCACAAGCCGCGTGGCAGGCAGTCTCCTGGGAAGGCGGAGAAGCCCTCCAACCAGGAGCCAGGCTCCTCGGGGAAACCAGGCTCCCCGGCCCCACCGGAGGAGCAGGTGGACCCAGGCTCCGCTGGCCCGAACCTGAAGTCGAACCTCACTGGATTGCAGCTATGCTCTGTGGGAGAGAGAAGCCAAGCTCTTCCAGGCAATTGTTCTATCTGGAGGATAGACTGCGGGCCTCCTGGGGGCAGCCTCTGGGAGCTTGTGTTGTCTGTTGAATGAATGGAAGGTCTCTTCTGTGACCAGGCGTGAGGCATGCCTCTTACTTCCTCTGGGGAGGGTGGGCAGGGACACAGGGCCTGCTGCTAATGTCTCCCTGTATTTGTGTGACTGTAGCCAGAGGGCAGCTCAAAGGGCAGCAGTGGCCCATCTAAGAGTCCTCAGCCTTCCACCAGCCCTGTGCCCTCCGAACCTCCCCAGAGAGCCAAGAGCCCCGCGTCCACCCCGGCCATGAACGGCCCGGCGGCTCCCTCAGCGGATGGCCCCAGCGAGGAGGCCCAGGGCCTGTCCCGGAAGAGGGTGGCGAACGCAGTGAGGAAGGTGGTGAGCAGGGTGCTGCCTGGCGAGGAGCCTGGGAGCGCCAAGGAGCCTCCGGCCAGAGGGGTCCGATCCCCTGAGCACCCGGCTCGAGGCAAGAAGGGAGAAAAGGCAGCCCCTGGCCCCAAGCCGCCCCCACCTCCTGTCCCCCCTGCTCCGCCTAAGCCCGAAGCCAAGAAGGAGGCGCCCAAAGACGAGCTCTCCGTGGGCCTGCGGAGCCTGATGTCCCGGGGCCGGGGCAAGGACCACAAGCCGCGTGGCAGGCAGTCTCCTGGGAAGGCGGAGAAGCCCTCCAACCAGGAGCCAGGCTCCTCGGGGAAACCAGGCTCCCCGGCCCCACCGGAGGAGCAGGTGGACCCAGGCTCCGCTGGCCCGAACCTGAAGTCGAACCTCACTGGATTGCAGCAGAACAAGTCAGCAGTCCCTGACGCGCAGCAGGAGGTACCCGAGTGTGTCACCAACTGCCCAGTCCCCTCACTGCCCTCGACGGAGGGCTGGCAGTCAGCTTCCCCAGGCTCTTTTGCACAAGCCCCGCATGACTGCAAAGAAGCTGGGCCCGGGCCACGTGCCGACGGCAGGGCTGCATGGCTTGCGTTTACTGAACGCCAGAACCCAGGGGCCCTGGTGACCGCCTGGAGCTGCTCTTTTCTCACTCTTGCATGGGAGGCCGGGCCTGGCCCTGAGCCCCGCACCGTGTCAGCGGGAGGCGCCACATCCCAAGCCGCCCCTCAGAGTCTTAGCAGATCGCTGCGAGGGTAGAAAGAATTTCTGAGGTCAGGTGGCCTGTGCTCACACCTTGCCCCCAGTCCCTCACTCCTGTGGGCCCTCAGAATCTCTGAGCCTTCCGCTGTTGGATGGGGTTCACATCAGTCTGCCGTCTCTCCTCTGAAGCCCTTGGGGCCACAGGTATTTTGGAAATGGGTGATTTTTGTATTTGAGAGTGTCATACAATGTACATAATGAGCAGCAACCCGTGATCAAACACATTGTTTCCATGAGAAAATGATGACCCGGCTCAGTGGTAAAGAACCCACCTGCCAGGGCAGGAGATGCAGGTTCGATCCCTGAGTTGGGAAGAGCCCCCGGAGAAGGAAATGGCAACCCACTCCAGTATTCTGGCATGGGAAATCCCATGGACAGAGGAGCCTGGCAGGCCACAGTCCACAGGAGTCACAGAGAGTCGGCCACGACTGAGCGACTGAGCACATAGTGATGCTGATAACAGTGCTTGTTGAAGCCGTCACGGCTTCTTCAGGCTTGGACAACTGTCCCCTGCTGTCCCCTCTGGCAGCAGGACTCTTGAGGAACTCTAGGCCTGAGTGGCCAAGAGCACAGTGGGCCCCGTTTGGATCTGGGGTCCCCATCTGTCCACAGAGTGCCCTGTGGGTGGGACAGGAAGCTGAGGGGCGCAGGGGAGGACTGAGGATGATCCATCCGGCCATCCCTGGAAGATGATGCCTGCTTGGCTGGTCCTTGGGTTGGGGGGCATTTCTCTTCAAGTTTTGCCATTTTGTGAACCTTCTGGGGCCTCATGGGGTTGCGCAGGGGAGTGGGGTACATGCCAAGTTTCACTACCGCTTCTCTCTGCTCCTTCTGGTTGGAAGGGGACAGTCGGGGACGTGGGGGCAGGGCACTTCCCAAAGGCCTGCCCTGTCCCCCAGGCCCTGGAGGCCTGCCTCTCTGACTGCTACCCGATAGGATTCCGGAGGTCCCAGACCCGCCTTGCTCCCCACTCCATTCTTCCTGGGCTTTGCAGAGCTGAGAGGGGAACAGCCGCAGCTCCCCCATCCCTCCTGGCCCACTCTGCCTTAGAGAAGTGACGACCTGGCACTCAGGAGTTGGCAGGGACATTTTGGCTGGACGGGCTGGTCTTGAGGTGAACTGCTAGCCCCTAAGGAGAACCTCCAAGGAGCCAGAGAGGGTCATGTGCCTGGTCCTGGGCCGGCTGCCCTCCCTGGGCTCTCTGGCCTCCTGCCTCTCTCTAGGGTGGAGTTGGGGCTGGGGCCCAGAACTGGAGTTCAACCATGTGTTTCCTGGGCCTGGGGCTGGAGCCAGAGGATGCATGGGAGAACGGGTCATCTAGGAGCGGAAAGGGTTAAGGTGGTGGAAAGAATTAACCCTGGAGCTCCAGGCCCCTTTTCTTTTATTCTCATGCGTATGTGCTAAGTTGCCTTATTCATGTCCAACTCTTTCTGACCCCATGGACTGTAGCCCACCACGCTCCTCTGTCCATGGGATTCTCCAGGCAAAAATACTGGAGTGGGTTGCCACACCCTCCTCCAGGGGATCTTCCCAACCCGGGGATCAAATCGCTGCCTCCTACGACTCCTGCATTGCAGGCAGATTCTTCACCTCTGAGACCACAGGGAAGCCCTTTTATTTTCATCTGATAGCTTAAAAGCTTAAAGTGGTGCCTTGCTTGCCTCGCTGACCATATTCCACTTACCCATGGGGGTCCCAGTGGCTTCCTGAGCTAGAAGCTTGGTGTGCTGTGCCCCTAACGTTCCCTGGGGCCAGGACTAATGGTGGTTTGACCTTTAGGCTGGAGCTGCCCCTGAGGTCTGGCTGACCCCCCCAGAGGAGGCCCACCGGCGGCTCGAGAGGATCTTCACAGCTCCAGTAATGCCGCCTCTCACCTGTGATTCCCAGTCCCTGGTCCCTTCATGGGGGCTGCCTGCCAGACTGTGTGTGTCTGTGTGTGTAGGAGCACCTGGCCATGGAAGGGGGGCTCCCTGGGGGCCTGGAGGCCCTCACGTGGGCTTCCCATGTGAAGAAATGAGAGAAGGGCAGGGCAGGGGGTCTGAGCAGAGTGAGGCCTGTTCCTCCAGGGAACCCATGGGAGGGGCCCCTCTTGGCTGGAGATCCAGCCCGCTCCTCTGGCCCCAGTCTCTTGCCCCGGAGGGCCTGTCTCGGTGCCAGGACCCGGTGGGTGTGAGGCAGGGAGCAGTCACTCTCCTTTTTGGATCAAGCCCTGATTCTCTAGACCCAGGTGGGCCTCTGAACTCCTTGCCCGTTTCTCACAGGCAAGGTCCAAGGCTGCTGCCTCCCCTTCGTCTCTAGAAAGGCCTTGGAGTAACCAGGCCCAGATGGGGAGGTGGGGGCTGGCCCAGGCTCTGTCCACATTCTGTGGTCCTTGGCCAACTGGCAGGTGCACCTGGATAGATGCAGACTCTGCGTGCTGTGGGGTGGGCATGGTGCGGGGGTCCCGCGGGGCGGGGGTGCTGTGGGGCTGGTGTGGGGGTCCCGCGGGGTGGGAGTGTTGCAGGCATGCCGTGGGAGTTTGAAAAGGGGGTCCTAGACATCCAGCTGCTGGTGGTCTTGTTTGATGAGCTACACAGGGATGACAGCCCTGAAAGACTGCCCTTGGCATGGGGAGTGGCACCCTCGGGTGGGTGTTTGGAGGCCAGAAACAGCCCGTGCTGGGGTCTGGTGGCTACAGGGGAGCTAGGCTGGGCAGTTCCCGGGACATCAGGCCACAGGCTCCCAGGGGTCTTGGGCCCGGAGGGTGGTGAGGTGGTCTGGCCAAGCAACACAGAAAGGAGGCTGTTGCAGTGGACTAGATGCCAGGAGAGCCTGCGGCCAGAGGCAGGGAGGCTGCCCCCTGCCGCAGGGAACGACTTATCAGAGCATCTGCACTAAGGAGTCTGATGGTGACAAGTGTTTCCTCACCACCCAGGGCCCCTCCTTACCTGGGTGCAATGCGCCTGCCCCAGCCAGCCCCCTCACCTATTGGTGCTGCATCCCTCTTCCCCCCTACCTGGCCGGGGTGCTTGCTGAAGGGGACACGTGGACAGCCTGCTTGTCTTCACCCCTCTTCTCTCTCTCTCTTTCTCCTTTGCCTGCCGCTGGTAGCTGGACCCTGAGGCCGCCTCTCCTGCCCACAGCCAGGTAGGGCACTCCTGCCCCCCTCAGGAGCCCTCCGGTGACCACCCACCACCCCCGGCCTGTACCTGGGCTGGCGTCTGTGCTCGGGCCTCGTGTTGGAGTGTAAGGCCTCTTTCCCCTTCTGGCTCCCAGCTCTCCTCTGTCTCCCCCTGCTGGCCAGTGTGGGAACCTCTCTTCGGATTAGCCCTGAAGGACTTAGTTGAGTTAGAGGCCCTTGTCCTTTGATGTCATTAGTTGCCAAACATCTGACCCCTACAATGTGCCCATTCAAGACAAAGGTTTCACCTGTCTCATGATTTTTTTTAAAAAGTAATTTTGTTTTATAAAGCCAATCTTTTTCAAATATAAATATTTAGCCCTTTTTTTAAGATGTCTTATTAAAATGCTGGCAGCCCCATGGTGGTGATCCTCCTGTTTGAGGGGTAATTTCACCAGTCCATGATGTGCAGAGTCTAGAGACCACTGTATTAGCCAGCCTTCTGACTCTATAGCCTGGGAGGGCTGAAGCAAGGGAGAGGGAGTGATCTGAAGCTGGAATCTACCCTGGGAGTAGGACACAGATCTTTTTCTTTCAGCTCCAAGAAATGTAATAGAGAACATACTTATTGTTATTATTTGGCCTTGTCCTTTCTGATCCCTCACCCAGAAGATCAGTATCACAGAGCAGTGTCAATATGTTGGCCAGAGGCCTCGTGAGGATGGGGGACTCTAAGAGACTAATTATACCTCCGAGCTGGGGACCCCCAGAGAGCTGGGGGTTAGGGCTAGTTTGAGGACTCCTCATGCCATGGGGGGGGGGGCGGTGACCGACTCCTCATGCCATGGGGGGGGGTGACCATCTCCCCAAGAGGCCACTGGATGAATCCTGCTGCTCTTTCGCCCACAAGACAAAAGGACCCTGATGGGCCGTGGGGGCTGAGCGCTTCTCCTGTTTGCCCAGCTCCCCCAGGCACCATTTCTGCCCAGCTCAGGTCGTCTTAGGGGATGCCAGGTTTGGCAGCCCCATACCCTGACAGTGCCCGTGAATGCTTCTTTCTGACTGGTGACCACCTGGGCCTCCAGGGGCTCCCAGCCCCTTCATACCCATGTCCATGTCCGTTCGGGTGGCATGCATGTTCCTTCCTGTATTTGACAGAGCAGTGCTGCCCCCGCCCCCGCCACGCTGCTTCATGCCCTTGTACGGCCTCAGCACATCCATATGGGTCTGGGCCCCTTCTGAGGAGGCATGGAGGGGGCACAGTACGCTGGCGTGTGCATCTGAACACAGCCCCTGCCAGGAGAGCACCCTCTGGGGGGAGGCCAGGGATGAGGCTGGGACTCCAGACCGTCCCATCAGTTTGCACTGAGTCCCGGGAGACATTCTCAGATCTTGAGCACATGCCTTTTCCCTGCTTGGTGAAGGAGGGTCTGTCAGTTGGTGACGGAGAAGCTGGGCCTGTGAGGTCACAGCAGCTGCAGCCCAGGGTGGCGGCTGGGGGCGCAGAATACTGATGGTCCAGGCTTCGCAGGGAGGGGGCCGGAGGGCGGCTGGTGATTTGCTCTCCTGGGATCTGCTGTCTCCTGGGCACACCCGCCACGTGTCCCTGTCTTTCCAGACTCTCAGGGATGGCAGGGTCCCTAGTCCTGTGTCCTTGTCCTCAGGGCTCCTCAGGACCACCCACCACCAGCTCCTGACTCCCCCGCCTCCTTCTCTGACATCTCTGATGTCTCTCGTCCCCCTCACCCAGTGGCTCGTCCGGAAGCCCCTCCTGTCATGCATCTCCTCTCCCTCTGTCCCTGCCTGCTTTCCAGAACAGGCTCTGACTCTCTGTCCTTCCCCTCCCTCTGGCAGGTGAAGACAGAAGAGCAGATTGCAGCTGAGGAGGCCTGGTATGAGACAGAGAAGGTGTGGCTCGTCCATAAGGATGGCTTCTCGCTGGGTGAGTCTGGGGAGGCCCACGGGGCAGGTGCCTGGGCCTCTCTGGTTTCAGGACTGGGCGGCTGGTGGGCCTCTGGGTCTGGCCAGGGCTGGATGGTGCGCGGGGAGAGGCTGGTAGCACAGCTGGGAGAAGGCAGGACCATGAGGGGCCCAGAGAGGACTGCCACGGCTTCCCAGGCCCATGTCTGTCTGTCTGTCTGTCTGTCTGTCTGTCCCTGCTCTGCAGCCACTCAGCTCAAATCCAAGGAGCTCAGCCTGCCCGAGGGGAAGTTGCGTGTGAAGCTTGACCACGATGGAGCTGTCCTGGACGTGGATGAGGATGACGTGGAGAAGGTTTGCCGGAGGCTGGTGGAAGGCACCAGAGGGGGCCGTGCTGGGCTGGGCAGGCTGTCTGCTGGCACGGCCGACCAGATCTGCTGCTTCTTCGGTGCCCACCTGTCTGTCCCATCCCGTAGGCCAATGCTCCCTCCTGTGACCGTCTGGAGGATCTGGCCTCGCTGGTGTACCTCAACGAGTCTAGTGTCCTGCACACGCTGCGCCAACGCTACGGTGCCAGCCTGCTGCACACATACGCTGGCCCCAGCCTGCTGGTCCTCAGTCCCCGAGGGGCCCCGGCCGTGTACTCGGAGAAGGTGCAGCCCCACAGACCCACCACCCTCTACCTCCCCACCTTGCCCACCTTCCCTGGCTCTGCCCCTTTCACTTGCCATCCCACAGGGCNGGGTTTCAGAGCAGTGTGCGCGATTTGCGGGAACAGCCGGCCAGAGTGCTTCCCAAACGGCCTTTGGAGGCGGAGAGGGGGCGGGGCCGGAGGGAGAGGGGCGGGGCCTGGAGATGGAGTGGGGATGGAGGCCCTGCCAAGATACCAGCTCTTTTCCGCCCGGGCCTCTCTGTCCTCAAAACCCCTCTGTCCCCAGCAGTCCTGGTGTGAGTAACAGCCTTTGGGTACTAGGGGAGCAGCTACGGGCTGGGCCTCCCATTCTGCCTGGGCCTCTGGGGGCGTGACTGGGGGCGAGCAGTGCCTGGCCCTCCTGAGAGCCCCGGGGCCTGTCTTCTGCAGTGGACAAGTGGCAGGCTCTGTCCACCCTCCTGGAAGCCTTTGGGAATAGCCCCACCATCATGAACGGCAACGCCACCCGCTTCTCCCAGATCCTCTCCCTGGACTTTGACCAGGCTGGCCAGGTGGCCTCTGCCTCTGTTCAGGTGAGGGACACGCAGGGTAGTAAGAGACTGGCTGTCCGATTTCATGCCTAGAAACCAGACTCTCTCCTGCACCTCGTTTTCCTGAGATTCTGCCCCAGCGAAATGGACCCCGGCCCCTGCAGGGCCCTGCTTTGCCCGGAGCCTCCATATTCTGCCCACCTGCCGTGCCTCCTGCCCTGGGTGGGGCATGGCTTGACTTCCTCCCTATCCTGGGGTGGCCCACACCTTAGTTGCTCAGGGCCTTCTCTCAGCCTGATTGACCCATGCAGGACTGGCCTGTCAGTAAAGTAAGGCCCCCCCTCTGAGGCTGGTTCCCTTCCATGCTTGTGAAATAGCTCACACCGAGTGCCTGGTTCCCCTGGCGGCTGGATGGGGTGGCAGGGTCTGTGATCTTCCCCAGCTCTGGGGTCTGCCCCACGCTTGCCTATGAGGTGATCTGGCCTTTGGTTGAGCTCCTGGAGAATAAGATGCAGCCACTTGTTGCCACGGGCCTGGTTGGGGAAGCCTGACCTGGGCCTGCCCTCCAGCCCACACACCCTCTATGCTGTGCCGCAGACCATGCTTCTCGAAAAGCTGCGTGTGGCCCGACGTCCAGCTGGTGAGGCCACGTTCAACGTCTTCTACTACCTGCTGGCCTGTGGGGATGGTACCCTCAGGTGAGTGGGGCAGAGGGCACTGGGAGGATGCTCTGGGCTCCCACCCACTGACAGCTCCTGGGCTTTGCCCCCCGATTGCATCCCATGCCGGTTGTTTATTTCATGGCTGCTATGTGCTGGGCTCTGAGCTAGGCCCTGGAGGTGATGAGCTGAATGAGCCATAGACCTTGCCCGACAGGAGCTCCCCGGCCTTGGACCCCGGGGGCCTGGCTGTAGGTGAGGGGCACCATTGACCCTTCAGCATCCCCAGGGCCTGGCCAGGATCTCTGCTCCCCGTGATGCCAGATCTGGAGTGGAAAGCGCCCCGAGGGGCAGGTGGTCAGGGACTTTCCCGCAGTCCCACGGCCAGTGTGGGGCTGAGCTGGCGTTGGAGCCCACGTGGGGGCCAGAGGCTGAGCCTCTTCTCCATTGCCCTCCATGCTGGCCCCTTGCCTCGATGTTGGCTCCTCTGCCAGGCTCTTCCCTTTAGATGTTTGGGCTTGCTGTCTGTGTTCACTGAAAAAAGGATAAATGATAAAGCTGAGCAAGCAGCCCAGGGTGCTAGCCTTGCATCCGGGCCAGTTAGGAAAGGTGCCTGACGGGAGGGCATGGTGGAGAGACAGAACTGAGTCTGGAGGCAGAGTCTCTGCTTCCAGCCTGGTGGGGAGATGGACTTGGTGTGGGGACCCAGCCTTGCGCTGACACCTCGTGTGTACCCCTAGGACAGAGCTCCACTTGAACCACTTGGCAGAGAACAATGTGTTTGGGATTGTGCCGCTGGCCAAGGTGAGGGGCCTGTGGGGAGGGGTTGGCAGCCCGGGGCCTCGGAGTAGGAGAAGCTTCGAGTGGCCTGGAGTGCCCCAGGGGAATAGCAGGAGCCCAGCTCTGGGTGGGTGGCGGTACCCCAGCCTGGGCCGCCCTGAGGGCCCGGCAGCATGGGGATGGCCGGAAGGACAGCCCGTCTGAGATCCGCTGCCCGTGTGCCCATCCATCCCTGCAGCCTGAGGAGAAGCAGAAGGCGGCTCAGCAGTTCAGTAAGCTCCAGGCGGCCATGAAGGTGCTGGGCGTCTCCCCGGATGAACAGAAAGCCTGCTGGCTCATCCTGGCTGCCATCTACCACCTGGGGGCTGCAGGTGCCACCAAAGGTAACCCACCGTGGAGCCCAGCAGGCTGGCTGGTCACCCAGGAGAGCTGGTGGGCGCCCGGCCCACCCCCAGTTCGTCCTTGCCCCACACAGACTTGCCTGTTATCAGAAACCCTTCTCTGGTTTGTCCCTTTCCCCAGTCCCCCTCGTCAGAGCAGACGCCTCTAAACGCCCAGAAGAGTGTCTGCCAGTGATGGCCAGAGGCCTGGCCTGAGGTGACAGTGGCCTGAAGTGCTGTGAACAGCAGGGGGCTTGGGGGTTTGGAGGCTGGGGGGAAAGATGAGGGCACAAACTCAGAGTAGCCCCCCACCCCCCCAGAATAACTCTCCTTCTGTTCCCTTCCTGACAGAGGCCCCCGAGGAGCAAGCGGGTAACTGACCTTGACCCCGACCAGGGGTGTAGGGGCCACCGTGCCCTGTCTTGGTGCTTGCCCTGGGCTCTCTCTGGGGACTGGGCTTGTTCTATCAGAGCAGAGGGCACTGGCCTGGGAGAAGCCCCAGGTTTGAGGGTGGAGAGGGTGCCTGCGGGCGGAGGGGCTTCTCAGAGCCCCAGGAACAGCTGCTTCTACGTGTTCTGCGTACAGGTCCTGGAACCTCTCAGGATGCCCTCCCTGGGGCATAGGTGGGGAAGGGTGTGTTGCTTCCTGGGGCTTCCCAAGGCCAGTTTCCCCTCAATCTTCCCTAGCCTTCACTGGGTTGGTACTTGAGTGCCTCTTCCTCTTGCATGTCAGGATGGCGGCCACTAGGGGGCAGCAGGCGCTGTGGTTATTAAGGGCCTCTTCCTCTTGCATGTCAGGGTGGCGGCCACTAGGGGGCAGCAGGCGCCGTGGTATCGAATGGGCTGCAGCTTCGGCATTAGTGCTTGGGTGTCTCACGAATGGCTGGAGTTTGGTCTGGCTTGGTCTGCCTTCCTCCGAGATGATATGGATGGCCCGGCGCTCTGAGAGCCTCTTCGCCTCTTTCTCCTCCAGTATAGAGAAAGGGCTGCTGCTTCTGAACGGCACCTGGGGCACTGGCTTCATCTTCCTCTGGGATATGAAGGGCCCCAGGCTGTCAGCAGGAGTGAGGAAGCACTGGTGGGTGGGAGGGAGGGTGGGAGCGCGCAGCAGCAGGCATCATGAGGTAGGTACCTTATGATCCCAGCAGGTGGCATCCCTGCCCAAGAGGAAGCAGGCTCAGAGTTAGAGTTGTCTCCACACTTGTAGATGGGCAGGTGGATGGGCGTACGATTGTGTGCTGAGGGCTTTCTTTCCCTCTGAGGAGGTGAAAGCCCAGGTTTCCTGTAGCCCTACTCAGTGCTGACTGCATGTGGAGAGCTCTGAGTGCATCAGCACATGACCTTGTTCAGCAGAGTCTGTTACCTCTTCAGAGCTTCCAGGATTTTCTAGGGGGGTGTGTGTGTGTGTGTGTGCACATGTGTGTATGTGTGGTAGAGAGTCTTTGTGGGTCTCTTTCTGTGTGTGTCAGTGTGATTATATCCATACAAATACTATGAGGCTGTGAATGTGTGCACATGTGTGTGTGTGTTTGTGTTTCTGAGTTTCTGAATGCGGGTTGTGTTCTCTGTCCGGCTCATCTTCACAAACCCCCACCCCCTACAGGCCCTTCCCTGGGCCTGGCAGGCTCAGCTGATGACTGTTTGCTAACACGCTGTTTTTCTTTGCATGCTGCATGCTGGTCCTTTGCCTTACAGAAGCTGCCGAAGGTAAAACCTTGTTTCTTGTTAGCGTTCCCTAATTGCCGCGATTAGACACGTGTTGGCTGAGGCGCGTCGTCCCAGTCCCCTGCAGCTCTTTCTTGCCTCCCCACTGTTGGGCCACAGTGGATATTTGAGATCTCCCCTGGTGGATGCCTGGGGAGAAGGGGAAGGGTCCTGGTTTGTCCATGGAAGTGGGGGAGCTCCAGTACTCTTCTGATATATGCCCTTCCCCACCCCCCCCCACCACCAGGCATAGGCTGGTCCTGTGCTTTTCACAGGTGGGCCGGCTCATCCTCTGTCCCCCACAGCTGGCACCTGGAGCCAAGCCCTCTAAAGGGGCTTCCCCAGCTGTTGGGGAGCCCTCTGCTGGCCGCAGCCTGGAGTTACCTCCTCTTTTTGGATCTGCTCATTCTCTCCAAGGGGCTTCCCTAGTGGTTCAGACAGTAAAGAATCTGCCTGCAGTGCAGGAGGCTGGGGTTCAATCCCGAGGTGGGGAAGGTCCCCCTGGAGAAGGAAATGGCAACCCACTCCAGTGTTCTTGCCTGGAGACTTCTACGGGCAGAGGAGCCTGGAGGGGAGGGAGTCCATGGGGTCACAAAGAGTCAGAAACGCCACCCCTGAGAGACACTGGCAGCTGCTGGTTGTCCCTGTTATGCCTGAAGCCCTTGCTGATGTCATCAGGGCTGTTTTTTCCTTCTGGAGGGTGCCTGTTCCCTATCGCTATGGGCGCGAGGGAGCCGAAGGGCACAGTGGTCATCTAGCAGCCTGAGGAGGCAGACCCAAGAGGCTAGATTCTTTCTTCTACTTCATAGCTGGGCGCAGGCAGTTTGCCCGCCACGAGTGGGCCCAGAAGGCTGCATACCTGCTGGGCTGCAGCCTGGAAGAGCTCTCCTCGGCCATCTTCAAGCACCACCACCAGAGTGGCACCCTGCAGCGCTCCACGTCCTTCCGCCAGGGCCCTGAGGAGAGCAGCCTGGGCGAGGGCACAGGTACCCGAGTCCCGTGCCATCAGAGGCCTCTTCCGGGGTGCGCTGCCATCTCCGGGTGGGCAGACTGCTGGGCGAACAGATGCTCCATGCTGCCTGGGCCTGGGTGGGGGTGGGGGGGGGAGCACACCCAGGTATGGAGTCCCAGGGAGCAGGAGGTAGAGCTGACCCTCTTACCCACAGGCCCCAAACTGAGTGCGCTGGAGTGCTTGGAGGGCATGGCATCTGGCCTCTACGGCGAGCTCTTCACGCTTCTCATCTCCCTGGCGAACAGGTGGGTGCCAGGCACTCTCGGCTTCCTGGCCTCACACAGGTGGGATTTATGCCTTTTGCCTGTGGGGTCGCTGAGGCAGAGCCAGCCTCCACCAGCTGAGTCCTCCCCACAGGTCCTGGGCTCCTGGGCAGGGATGGGGATCAGGCTTAGGGCAGGGTGGGCTGCCTGGCTGCCAGGGCACCGTGCTGGGGGGCTCTGACCCGGCTCTTCCCGGGCAGGGCTCTCAAGTCCAGCCAGCACTCCCTCTGCTCTGTGATGATTGTGGACACCCCAGGCTTCCAGAACCCTGAGCAGGGTGGGTCAGCCCGCGGGGCCTCCTTTGAGGAGCTGTGCCACAACTACGCCCAAGACCGGCTGCAGAGGCTCTTCCATGAGCGGACCTTCGTTCAGGAGTTGGAAAGATACAAGGAGGTAGCGCTTGACCTTGCCCCTGCTGCCTAGCACCCCCAGGCTCGCCTGGCCCTGAACACTCGGAGTCGGGGGGCATCTGTGGATGCAGCGGATTCCCTGCCGGCTGCTCCCTGCCCAGCTCTTTACTCTGACGTTTCTGTCCCCTCTGCTCTCTGGAGCAGGAGGCTTTTCCTGCCGAGGCCGCGTCCTTTCTTTGTGGAGTTTGCTCTCCAACACGCCAAAGATGCATGCAGAGTCCCTCCCTGGGAGCCCCTCTTTGCTCGCCTTCAAGGTTACCTGCCTTGGCCCCGTGAACCATCACTGGGCAATTCCTGTCTCCATGTGTGTCTGGCCTGGCCTTCCCTGTCTCCTGATGTGTTAGGATGAAGACTAATTATTAAGCGCCCCCCCCCCACCTCCATAAAAGGGTATCCCAGATGGGATCTGAGAATCCTACCTCACTTGGAGCTGAGTTGAATGAGCTGGGGGTATGGGGGAGTGATATTTATCTTGGATGAGAGAAGATTAAGGAGGAAAATGACAGTTGTTCTTCAAGTATTTCGAGGATGAGTATGTGAAATTGAGAGTGGGCTAACTCCAGGTGGCCAGATCAGCGGGTGTGAGTAACAGGAATGTGTACGAGACTTTAGCTCACCGTGAAGGAGGTGAGGAGGTTAACTGTCTAGAGACACAGTGCGGGGCCTTGGGAGGGGGTGAGCATCCATCAGTCGGGCTGCTGGAGTGTCCCTCTGATGGGACGTTGGACTTGCTGACCCCAGCATCCCCGCCTGGCCTGCTTGTAGGGCGGCACACGGCCTCGTGCTCACTGCCAACCCACCTTCCTTCCTAGGAGAACATCGAGCTGGCGTTTGATGACTTGGAGCCGGCCACGGATGACTCTGTGGCCGCCGTAGACCAGGCGTCCCATCAGTCCCTGGTAGGAATCCCAGGGAGGGCCTGGGCTGGCCTTTTATCACCCTTGCCATTCTCCTCCCTCGGTAGAGTCCTCCCCTTATGGGCTGCTGCCTGCCAGTCGGAGGGGGCACTGTGGGCGGGCCCAGATACCAAGCACTTTAAAGTCATGTGCCTTGCCCTCAGCTGTCCGCTGGTCTGGCCAGAAAGCGGACACTGTGACCTTCGGCCCTGGTACGGTAGGGAGCTTGGCCCCAGGTGTCTGAGCTCAGGCCCTGTCCATCTGTGCTTCAGGTGTGTCTGCCAGGAGCCCTCGTACGACCTCCTCGCGGGTGAGGGCCTGGCTAGACCCAGAGGATGCAGTCATCCCTGCCCCTTGTCCCCAAGTACAGGAACAACAGGGCGAGGAGGTGGCATTCTGTCTGAATATGGATACAGTATAAAACCAGGGGGCTGTGTGGGTGTGAGCCCTTGCCCCTCATTCTGGGGATGGGCTTCGTCACCTGCTGGGCAAACGTCTTGGGCACCTTGCTGGCTGGGGGACTGGCTGGCCTGATGGCACTTGGCGTTTAGCAGTCGTCTTCAGTTAGGGAAGCTTCATAAGGTGCTTGATTGAAGAACCGGCAATGTTGCCAGGTTGCCGATCTCCCTCCTCTGCTTGGATCCTACCTCCTTTCCCTTCCTTGCTGTGGGAAGGCTCTGGCTCAGGGGTGGGGCCCTGAGAGAATGAGTATCCATCCCTCTGGGACAAGTGCTTAACGTGCCCAAGTCCCCCACCTCCCCAGGGGAAGTTGGCTTTTCTTCCTGATACCTGGGCCCCCACCAAGGCCTCCCTCGAGAGTCTTTGCCCTTCCCAGGAGGTGGGCCACTTGGCCCAGGAGACTTACATGCAGCAGTGGGTCAGGTGGTGTGTTTGGATAGCGCTTGGCTGTCCCTTCGTTCCTCTGACCCCCCTCGCCTGATGGGCCTTGGCATCGGCAGCTGCACCTCTGGGCAAAGAAGCCCCTTCGTGCCCCGCCCGCCACTCACCCCTCCCTCCAGTAGTTTCCTGCTTATTCCTACCACACAGCTCCAGCTAGTCTGTTGCCCGCCGGTCCGTAGCCACCTTCTGCTTCCTTCTGGTCAGCACACAGTCTCCCTTGGGCAACTGGGGTCAAAGAGGGCACTTCTCTTACTTCTCTTGTCCCCAGGCCCTAGAGGCCAGGCCAGAGTCCTTGCCCAAGGAAGACCTGGGAACTGCATAGAAAAGGTGCCTTCATACCTAGGTGTTTGGTCTATGTGGGAAATTAGAAATGGAGTTCAGTATTTCTGCATTCTCTCGAGAAACTGGGGGATTTACCTACACTCTCAGGCCCACGTTCTTCCAGGACGGCAGGTGGCTACTGCTGAGTGGGAGCTGGTAGATGCAGACACTGCTCCCCAGGCACCCCAGCTCTGCCCATTTTAGCTGCCACATGCATTAAGTCAATCGTCTTAGGCTTTCGGCACTCAAGTTTATGACCCTGCAGTGACCCCATCCGCAGAGCTCCAGGCTCTCTCTGGGTTCTCCCCTCTTGGGGGGACTAGGGGCCACCCCACAGCTGGCTCTTTCCTCTTACTGACAGCCTCCTTTGGGCCATCCTCTGTACTCAGAGCCTTACAGATCTGCTCTTTAATCTGCATAGAAGGTGATACCCAGAGAGTGCAGGCAACATGGGGTTCGCCCAAGGCCCCCTGACCTCCCCAGGGCTGAAGGTGGAGGAGAGCCTCTGGATGTGGGCTTGGCGTTCCTAAGAAGCCTTCCGTCTTTGGGGCCTCTGGACACAGGTCCTAGGAATCATGTGCTGTGGGCTCCTCTCTCTGCCCCACTTTCTGCTTGCTGCCCACATGCTCCACAGGATGGCAACCATGAGCGGCAGGAGCTAGAGGGTGTGTGTGTATCTGTGTGGCATGTTCAGAGTGTGTGGCTGGGAACCAGCGGTCCTGGCCCCCTCCCCACAGCTCCGTGTGACCCCGTGGGACTTCTTTCCGCCTCCACAGGTCCGCTCGCTGGCCCGCACGGATGAGGCGAGGGGCCTGCTGTGGCTGCTGGAAGAGGAGGCACTGGTCCCAGGGGCCACGGAGGACACCCTCCTGGAGCGCCTGTTTTCCTACTATGGCCCGCAGGAAGGTGACAAGAAAGGTGGGTAGCCCTGGAGGGCCGCTCCCCGCTTCCTCTCCTGAGAACCTGGTTATGTATATATGGGTCCAACTGGCCTTTCCCGGGATGGGGCTGACTGAGTCCTTGGGCTTTCGGGTGGGGGGGTGGGGGGCTGGGCCCTGATGATCTGAACCTTGCTTCTCCCCCTGACCCAAACCAGGCCAAAGCCCCCTCCTCCGCAGCAGCAAACCGCACCATTTCCTCCTGGGCCACAGCCACGGCACCAACTGGGTGGAGTACAACACGGCGGGCTGGCTGAGCTACACCAAGCAGAACCCGGCCGCTCAGAATGCCCCCCGGCTCCTACAGGACTCCCAGAAGTAAGAGCGCCACTGGCTCTCTGCGCCCGTTTTCTCTTCTCGCTCTTTGAGGGTTTCCCCTGCAGTGTCTCTGTCGGATGGTGGGGGGGCCCTCCATCCCCCCCCACACCCAGATAACCTGGACCCCTGGCCACAGTCATGTGGGGGTGGTGGGGCGTCCTAGGAGCTGCGAGAAGGGGCAGCCGGCCTCTGCGGGCTCCATGAGTGAGACCTTTCCCCTCCTTGGCCTCCCCTCCCCCGGCAGAAAAATTATCAGCAACTTGTTTCTGGGCCGGGCGGGCGGCGCCACGGTGCTCTCAGGCTCCATCGCAGGCCTGGAGGGCGGCTCGCAGCTGGCGCTGCGCCGGGCCACCAGCATGCGGAAGACCTTCACCACGGGGATGGCGGCGGTCAAGAAGAAGTCCCTATGCATCCAGATTAAGCTGCAGGTGGTGAGTGTGCCCGCGGGGGCCCCGGGGCACTTCCGGAACACTGGCAGGCGGCCGGGGGCCTCCTGGGCACACAGGTCACCCGTGCCCGCTCAGCACCCCACTTGCCTCGGTCGCGGCTCGCGGGGGTGGGGTGGGGCGCGCGGTCCTTCCTCAATGTTGCCGCCTGTGAGTGGTCTCCAGGGCCTGCTAGGGACAGCCTTGTCCAGACTCGGCAGTGTCCTGGCCGGGGGAGGGAGGGGGCCCCCTGCCATCCTGCCCAGGGTGGAAATTCTGGCGCCCCGGTCCCCGCCTCCTGGCTCGCGCTGTCGGCGCCCACTGAGGGCCGATCCTTCCGCTTCGGCAGGACGCCCTTATTGACACCGTGAAGAAGTCCAAACTGCATTTCGTGCACTGCTTCCTGCCGGTGGCGGAGGGCTGGGCCGGGGAGCCCCGCTCCGCCGCCTCCCGCAGAGTCAGCAGCAGCAGCGAGCTGGACCTGCCCCCGGGAGAGCACTGCGAGGCCGGCGGCCTCCTGCCGCTGGACGTGCCGCTGCTGCGGGCCCAGCTCCGGGGCTCCCGCCTGCTCGACGCCATGCGCATGTACCGCCAAGGTGGGGCCCTCCCTCCCAGAGCAGCCCCTGCCCCTCCCCACCGCGAGGTCTGGAGGGGCGCTGCTCCCCTCCTGTCTCCCACCGGCCCTGGACCTCGCTCTTCTCTGTCACTGCCTTCTCTGGCGTCTCTCCTTGCAGCTCTCCATCCTGCTGATCTCCTTTCTCTTCCACAGTCCAGCCCTCTTCATCCCTGCCCCACCACATGCCCTGTCCCCACAGATATCTCCTTCCCCTCCCCTGGTCTGAGCAGGTCAGCTCTCCCCACAGCTGACCCAGTGTCCTAATGGAGCAGCTGCTTGTAAGAAGGGGCCAGTGAGAAATGAGGTGCTAACTCTTTCTGAAGAACTTGAAATTCCCAAGAAAGGTCAGATAGACCCTTTCTATGGACCAATCTGGAAGAGGGGGCCAGAGAGGATGATAATAATAGTTAACATCTTTAGCGCTTTTATAGTATACCAGATGCTATGCTAAACATACCACACAGATTAACTCATGTAATCCTCACAACAACCTCAGGAGATGTAGGTACTAGTATCATCCCCAGATGAGGCAGCTAAGGCTCAGAGAGGGTAAGTAGCTTTCCCTAGGTCACACAGCTCGTGAATGGCAGAGCAGATCTGACCTAAGCAGACCAGCTTCCACATAGCGTTTCATTTGCCCGAGACGTTATGAGTTGCCAGGTTTCTGCCCTTTTCCCCCTTAGCTGGAGGAGCAGGCAGGCTCCCACCCACCAACAGCCAGGTCTCCTGGAGGCACCCCCAGGGGCACCGTCACTTTTCCTTAGCAGCCAGAGCCAGGAAACGGGCTCCCTGCCCTGCTGAAAATAAATCATCGATCTGTCCCCACGTCTTGATATGGAGTTGGTGTTTATTATTTCAAAACCAGATTGTTACCGCTCTGAACCAAAATCAATGTGCTTTACTCAAACAAGCAGGTCGATGCGGCCAGCGCCGGCAGGCTCCCCTCCCCTCCCTCAGCCCCCATTGATAGCACTGATGATTAATTAAGATGCCAGGCGTCCGGACCTGCTATCCCAGCCCATCAATTTAATTGCAATTCAGATACAATCAATAGCTCACTTTGTCTTGGCCCCTCGGCGGCCCCCGCCTCCTGTTTCAATTATCAGGCACATGCATCAGCCCTTCTCTCAGTTGGAGGGTTTCCCAGAGTAGCTCCGGCTGCCGTGGCAGAGCCAGCCCCCAGCGGGCTGCTGGGAGCCCCGGTTTGGAATCCAGGGCTGCCCTCAGCTGCTCCTTGGGGCCTTGAGCAAGCCTGTCCCTCCACCTTGCGGGCCTCAGTTTCCACGTCTGGAGGATGAGTTCTTTCTGGCTCTAAGACTTCTTTTTTGGTTTGAGATTCTGTCGGAGTAGGTCTCTTGGTCCTCTGCTGTGGGCTCTGGGGTCCTCCAGGTGACTTGGGGTTACCTCTCACTGGCTTCCATCCTGACCTTGCTCCAGCTTTTAAGCCCAGGCGGTAGCGAATCTCTGCTGGAGCCAACACTTTTTAGGGAAAGGGAATCTATGAGGCTTTCTGGTCACCTGGCCTGGGGCCCACAGTCAGAATAAGGGCAGGAGGGGTGCCCTTTCTGATACCTGCCTCAGGGAACCGAGGAAAGGAAGAGAACGTTTTACTGAACATTCAACAAGTGAGCCGACCTTGTTTCTCCATGTTTTCTCCTGTAAGCACTGTGACTGCAGGATAAGTGGGAGGGCTCCCCATTTAAAGATGAGGAAACCGAGGCTCAGAGAGGTTGAGTGACTCATCCAAGGTCACGTGATAGGAAGAGCTAGGGCAGGATTTCAGCCCCAAGCACTTCACTTTTCCTCTCTGCTACTCCCTGATGCCCTCATTTTATGAAGTCCTCAAGACATCGTTCCCTGGGAGCAGACGAGGCTGACGGGCCTGGCTCCGGGCTCCTGTCTCCCCAGGTTACCCTGACCACATGGTGTTTTCCGAGTTCCGCCGCCGCTTTGACGTCCTGGCCCCACACCTGACCAAGAAGCATGGGCGCAACTACATCGTAGTGGACGAAAGGCGGGTAGGTCTGGGCCCCCACGGCCCCACCGGACCCTCCTCCCCCTGCTCAGACCCCTCTGAGCCAGCTGCCCTCCCTTGCCGAGAGACAGCCAGGCTGGCCCTTGCTCAGGTGCCTGGTTTGTGCCAACCAAGGCCGGGGTGGGCACTTGGCAATGGGCTTGGCCGGTGGAGGGAAGGCAGCCCGGGACATGGACTGCAAGAATCACAGAAGAGCCACCTGCTCTCAAGGCCCGAGGTGAAGGTGTCTGCTGTCTGCTGAGCCAGACAGTCACCCAAGAGCCTCCCAGGGGGGCAGATTAGAACTAGCGTTTTGGATGCCCCACCGGTAGCACCCAGGCCCCTCAGCCTTGACCTTTATGTCAGGGACCATTCCCTCCAGCAGGAAGCTGCCCAGGGGTGAGGCAGGCATCCCTCCCAGGAGAAGGGTTGACGTGGCAGCACCTCCCTGGTGCAGGGTGAGCCTCGGGCTCCCGGGGCGGGCCCTTCCTTGTCAGTCAGGTTGGTGACTTCCTGCCGCACAAAGGGATGTCTTCCTGCCATTCTTGGCTGTCACGTTGACCCCAGAGGCAGCTCCTCGGAGAGGCGAAGGGCTCTTTGAGCAGAAGAATCCTCCTGTGCTGTGCCCTGGCCTCAGGCACAGCCTGACTCGAAAGGCATCTCAGGCCTGAGGTTGGCTTTCCTACAAGGGAGCCTGCTCTGGCAGATGGGGCAGGACCCCCACACCTCCTGCTGCCCCCTGAGTCACAGACCCACACTGATGGAGCCTCAGAGACCCTCTTTCCACCCTGTCCATCCGGGACCTGCCAGTGTCCAGGGTGACCTCGGCGTGGATGTGGGTGACCTTGGCATGGATGTAGATGACCCGAGCCATGCCCCCTTCTCTCTGACCCTTGACCTCCATTCCCACCTCCCCCTCAGGACTCCACCCAGCACCACATCATCTCTGGAAGTGCTCTGCTTCTGAAATCTCTGACCACAGCCTCCTGTCTGTGCGGCTCATCGCCTCTCCCTCTCGGGACACCCGCTCTGTGACTCCATCTAGACTTCTCATTTCTCAGCCCCACTCCATTTTCTCTGCTCTGTCCATCCCTTCCTGACTTCCTTCTTCTTCCTTTGTCTGGATGCTGTGGTCCAGTTGGTTTTCACCCCCCTCAGCTCCCCAGTCTCCCAGAGCACCTGCCCTGCCCAACCTTCTCCCTTTGGGCGTTAAGCCCTCCTTGGATTGGAGCTCCCAAAGGGCTGTGGGAGAAAAGGACACAACTGTGGGGACTGGAATTCCTCTAGGTCCGTGATCTCTGGTTTTCCATGTGCTCCATCCTTACCTGGCTTCTATTCCGAGCTCCTCTGCTATTCCATTCTCCGTCTTTCCCCTCGAACCCTCCCCTACTGCATCTTCCCAGCAATTGACCTTGCCTCCAAACCCTAATACAAATGGGGTTCCAACCTCCCCTGGGCCCTGTGCATTCCTCTCCGGGTGTCCCCTCCTCCCCCGCCCTCCTGTCTGGGTGCGGGAGGGGCCCCTCTCATCCAGTCCCTTCCTCCTGGGCTTCGGAACCCATTCCCTCTGGTCTCTGGAGAACTGCTCCATCAGCACGACGTGTTCTCTGTCTCCTGTCCCTTCCGCCTCTCCTTCCCCGCCGGCTCTTTTCTCTGAGTGAAGTAGTCCACAGATGTTATGTTCAGAAGGAACCTCCATCAACCCTCCCTGGTGCCCTGGGCCATCAACACTGACTTGTGTCCTGTCGTTCATCCTTCCCCCGGTTCCCACCCCGAGGACACCTGGGACGGGCTTGTCCTCCCAAGCCCTCCATGTTGCCAGAGCTCAGGGCACATTTCAGTGCTTCTCGCCAGCACGTGACAGCCCTGCTCTTTTTGAAGCATTCTCTGCCCAGTTTCTTTGCTGCCGCTCCTGGTTTTGCCCTTGCCTCCCTCTTCTCTCTTTCTCAGTCCCTCTGAGCTTCCCTTCATCCACATGCCCCTGAAGTAAAGGTCCCTCTCTTCTTTAAGACTCTGTCCTTGACCATATCTGTTTTCTATGCAACACCCTCTTCCTAAGCAACCTCATTCACACCCATCACTTCAATTACCGCATATATATCGATGACTCCCAGATCAATACCTCTAGCCCAGGCTTCTCTCCTGCTCCAGACATGCGTTTCTGTCTAGCTGCTTTCTAACTCTTCTACCTGGATGCCTTGTAGCATCCCAAACTCAGCATGCTCAGACCAAACTGATTATGTGCTAAGTTGTGTCTGACTCTCTGCGACCCCATGGCTGTAGCCTGCCAGGCTCCTCTGTCTCTGGAATTCTCCAGGCAAGTGGGTTGCCATTCCCTTCTCCAGGGGATCTTCTCAACCCATGGATCGAACTGGGGTCTCCTGCATTGCAGGCAGATTCTTTACCACTGAACCGCCAGGGAGGCCACTAGAGATTGGCAATTATCTATTTACTATGTGAGTCAGAAGCTTCCGCGTGTCCCTAGCTTCCTCTCTCTCATCTACCTTTCCCCCACATTGAGCAAGTCTCTGTCTTTCTTTTTTTTGGGGGGGGGCCACACCCCGTGGCATGTGAGATCTTAGTTCCTGGACCCAGGATTGAATCCTGCATTGAAAGTGTGGAGTCTTAACCACTGGACCACCAGGGGTCTCTAAGCTCCATCTTCTTAACAGCTCTTGCATCTCCCCCTCCTCTTCTCCCTTTGGGTCAGGCTCTAGTCTTCTCTCCTACGTATTCCTGCCTAAGGGGTCCATGCATCCTCCACTCATGGGCCAGTGGGATTCTGTAAAGAGCTGACCTGACCACGCCCCTCCCAGGGAGAGAACCTCCAGGGGCTCAGAGCACACAGTCTCCCGTCCTGTAGCCCCTGCCCTCCTCTCCACATGCCCTGTAACTGCTGCCCACCCCTCTCCAGTTATTCTGAACCACCTGGAGTTTCCTCAGTGCTTCCCACTGACTGTCTTATGCTTCCAGGCCTTCGTGCCTGCTTGTCCCTCTGCCTGAAATGCCCTCACCCCTCCTTTGTCTGGCTAATCCTTACTTGTAGCTAAAGACAGCGCAAGCAACACCTCCTCCGGGTGCCTTCCACAGCCCCCTTCTCTGGCTTAGATGCCTCCTCCTCTGTGCATTTCATCAGTTTTCCTGACTGGCTCCCCAACAAGATAGCTTTGTTCCTCTTGCAGTCATCTTTATATCCCCAGAATCCAACAGAGCCTGGTGCTGCAGAAGCCACCGAAAGTGCTTGTTGAACACATAGGAGACTGAGCGGAGAATGAGAAGGGCTGAGTGACTGGGTGAAGGCCCGCATGGAGGCGGGGAGTCTCCGGGTGGGCTTCCTGACAGAGGCGTCTCTTTGCAGGCGGTGGAGGAGCTGCTAGAGTCCTTGGACCTGGAGAAGAGCAGCTGCTGCATGGGCCTGAGCCGGGTGAGTTGACCCTGCAGGAAGGCAGCCGGGCCCACACTCTCTGGTCACCCTTGTCCGGATGGCTGGTCCTCCCCTCCTGCCCTCCCTGCTCAGTCCAATTCTGGAGTCTCCTGGGGCCCCTGCTGGGTCTTGCCTCCCAGCCCCTCACCCCAGCTGCTTTGGGGCTGTGCTTCCTCCCAAGTGGTTTCCCTGGTGACTCAGATGTTAAAGGATATGCCTGCAATGCAGGAGACCCAGGGTTGATCTCTGGGTCGGGAAGATCCCCTGGAAAAGGGAATAGCAACTCACTCCAGTATCCCTGCCTGGAGAATCCCATGGACAGAGGAGCCTGGGGGGCTACAGTCCATGGGGTCGCAAAGAGTCAGACATAACTGATTGACTGACCCTATTGCTACAACTGCTTCTTTTCAAGCTGCCCCCTTCAGGGCTGGGGCCCGGGAAGTTAGATGCTCCAGCTGCAGCAAACTTGACTCTGCTTTCCTGTCAATAAATGGCTTGCTCAGTGCCAGGAACACCTCTGTGATGTCAGGAGGGAGTGGGTCGGAAGGTGGTCCTGAGTCGGCCTGAGTCCTGGCGTGGGGAGTGGGGAAGGCAGAAGGGAGAGCTGGAAAGCGTGTCTTCGTTGCTGAGCTGTCCAGGGTCGCAGAGAGGAAGCAGAGCTCTGTGAGTCTGTGCCGCCGCCGCCTGCCCACAGGCCGGGTTCCTCACCTGATTGGAACGCACATAAAAGGCAGGCGTGCCTGGCCCTGAGTGCTAGTCTGCCGCATCACTCCACCCCAGAGGGCCAGCCGGGCGTCCCTCCCTCGGGGCCGGGAGCCTGTGTGTCCCCCTACCGAGATTGGGAGGCTGAGACAGCATCCACGGACGTGCTCCAAGGGCTGAGGTGGGCAGAGAGCAGTGGGGAGCCCCCGGGAGGGTTCTGGACTGTCCATCTGTCCGCAGAGAGGGAGGGAACTCGTGGGGAGAGTGAGGTGGAAGAGGATGCTTGCAGAAAAGGCTCGCGCTCTGCTTCTCAGCTCTGTTCTCCCTGCTTTGTGTTCTGAGTCATGGTTTTGATTCCTACCGCCCCCTCCCTCCTTCCCTCTTTCGCTGGGAATCCCTTTCCTGTCCTCCTGTCTTTGGCTCTGCTGTCCCTGGTTTTTCCTTTTTCTCTGGGCCCCGGCCGTCCCTGCTGGTCTGTGTTCCTTGGTTTCGGGCTCTGCTATTTCCTGCCTCTTTGCTGGTTTTCTCTGCCTCCTGTGGGCCCACCCTCTTCCGTGTCGTCTCTCTGATTTTGTTCTCTGCTGTGTCTGGTTCCTTCCTCTCCTCCTCTCCACCTCTCTTTAAGCTCTTCTTCCCTGGGAAGCCTGGAGTCAGGTTTTTTTCACTGCAGCCTCTTGGTCTTTCTCTGGGTGGGGTCCCGTCCCTCTGGCAGGCTGAGCTGCTGGCTAGCCTTGGGGGGATGGCACCGTCTCCAAGGCATGTCTTGGGTAGAAGAGGGCCTGTCCAGGCTGGTCCTCTTCCCAGCTGCCGTCTCTGTCTCTCGGCATCGTCCCAGGCGCCTGCTGAAGCCGGTGAGCCCCACGGCCCATTCATCCTCAGAGCAGAATTAGGGGCAAAGTCAGATGTTTGCTGACATCTGGTTTGAAAGAGAAATTTCCGGGTTTCTAGGCTGCGGTTGGGCTTCCCTAGTGGTTCAGTGGTGAAAGATCCCCCTGCAGTGCAGGAGCCACAGGAGATCCAGGTTCAATCCCTGGGTCGGGAAGATCCCCTGGAGGAGGGCTTGGCAACCCACTCCAGTATCCTTGCCTGGAGAATCCCATGGACAGAGGAGCCTGGTGGACTGCAGTCCATGGGGTCGCAAAGAGTTGGAGATGACTGAGCGACTTAGCACGCACGCACACAGGCTGTGGTGGTGAAGGAGGATCCACTGTGTTTGTCACATTGTTTCAGAGGAAATGGGGTCTCCATCTGAGCCCACAGGTGGCTGGGACTGGAGCTCAGGCAAGGAAGTTTGGGGGTCTGAGAGCCTCCCTGACTTTGTAAAATATGAATGGGTGGGTATGTCTGGGGGAGGAGATGGCCCTGAGATTTCACCTCATACCGATAGAGACTCAACTGCATAAATGAACAGCTGTTAAGAGAGGCTCATTGCTCTCGACTCTACACCACCCTTTCTCGTCTCCGTGTGTTTCTGGGCCATTCTCCATCCCCCTCCCTGGCACCTCGATGCTGCTGCCTGCTCAGACAGCTGCGCGCTGACCACTAGCACGTTGGCCTTCTCCCTCCAGGGACCTGTGTCTTCCCCAGCCGCTGTGGAATCTCAGACTCCTGCGCTGTGGGACACAGAGGCTCAGGGAGGGCTGAGACCCACGGGAGATGCCTGGCGCTCAGCCGCATGTGTTGCTTAGGACTGAGCAGCTTTCTCCCAGGCCAGCCCCACGGGACTCAGTTCCTGCCAGGAGGCAAAATGTTCCCAGCAGAAAGTGCGGCCATCTCCCCGCTCCTTCCTTGGAGGGAAGCCTGGGGACGCCATACCTATCAGTGCTGTTTCCTATGGAGTTCACGACTTCTCTGTGCCCCTCAAAAGCAAATATTCTGTCTTCCGGGCACGGTGGTGATGGTTTGTACTTCCACGGCCCTTGCCCTCTCTGAGGATACCAGAGTCCTGTTTTTTTCACCTGACCATTTCCCCCTCTTCTTCTTCTCTTAGCACAGAGAATTTTACCCAGGCCCAGCTCAGGGCAGAGAAGAGTGAGAGGAAAGGCTAGGTGTGGGGGTGCCCAGCTGGTTCCTCTCACATCTGCCCTCCTGCCCCCAAACCTGTATGACAGGTCCCTCGCCTAGGCCAACCCCTGCCCACCCCACCGGTTTTTTCACGAGGTGAAACCTGGGTGTGGGGGTGGGTGTTGGCACATGAAAGAGGAGACAGTCTGAAATGAAAGTGAGTGGGGAGGGTGCAGAGAAGGGGCCCCCTCCCCACCCTCCCCCTTCTCTGCACACCGCTGCCTGTTCTTTTGCCTCATCCACACGTACACCGTCCCCTGATCCCAGGCGGCTGGAGCCTGTGGTTGGGCCTGTGGTGGCTACGGGCACAGGGGCGTGGGTGGCCCTGGGGACGAAGCCACCAGAAGTGTTGTGGGGCATCCACGGCGCGTCCTTCTTATCCAAGATGACTTCTCTCTGGCCTCCGTCTCCTTCCTCTCTTCCCACATTACTCCTCCCTCCCAGGCCTCCCCAGCCGCCAGCCCTCCTCCGCCTTAGACACAAGAGTTTTAGGCTCTCCCCAGGCCAAAGGCCACGCCCTGGGTCCACTGGTTTTCTGTGCTAGCTGCTGATTTCTCCACCCAGCTGCCCCCCGCCTCTCTCCTTCCCCACCTTCACCTGGCCCGTGTCTCCACAGGTGTTCTTCCGGGCGGGCACCTTGGCGCGGTTGGAGGAGCAGCGAGATGAACAAACCAGTCGGAACCTAACCCTGTTCCAAGCGGCCTGCAGGGGCTACCTGGCCCGCCAGCACTTCAAGAAGAAGAAGGTGCTACTCCAGGGACAGCCCGGTCCCCTTCCCCAGCCTATCTGGGCAGAGCTGAGCTCCGGGGGTAGGGCTGGGACTGGGAGGGGCATTCCTGTGAGGCAAGAGGCTGGTCATGGGGTTGTGAGTTATCTTTATCTGGGGGAGAAGAGGCAGGACCTCCCAGGGGCACTCTGGGCCAGGGCAGGGGATGGGGAGCCCCCCTGTGCCAGCCAGAGTGCTCATGTGCCTGGTGATGAGATCGTGTGGCCTGGTCCAAGGCTGGGTGGTGGGGAGCAGGGCCCAGGCAAAGGTGGGCTAGGGATCACAGGCTGCTCCATGAAGATTAAGGAGCTGTGTCAGCGACTCCTTTTCTTATTAGCAAGTCCATAAAACAGCCAGCACCGCCGCCTCTTGTGTTTCAGCAAGATTAGGTTTTATAGCACATCTAGGCCGGCGTGCTGGAAATAATCAGGCAGCAAATAAAGCAGACGAAATTATTCCTAATGACGGCGGATCGGTTAGTGCCCAGTGCGGTGCTCCCGGGGCTGCGCTCTCTGCCGCCCGCTCTCTGAGGGTCGGAGGGAGGCTAGGGGCAAGGGTTGGCTCAGGGAGTGTTTGACTCGGGGTGGGTCTGGTGGCCAGAGGGGCAGCCCCAGAGGCTGGGGCTGGTGGCGGGGACCATCCTGGCTGGACTTGGGACTGACAGCCTGCTGCGCGTCACTCCCACCCCAACTTAGATCCAGGACCTGGCCATTCGCTGCGTGCAGAAGAACATCAAGAAGAACAAAGGGGTGAAGGACTGGCCCTGGTGGAAGCTCTTCACCACCGTGAGACCCCTCATCGAGGTCCAGCTGTCAGAAGAGCAGATCCGGAACAAAGACGTATGGAACAGCCTGGGGAGGGGAGGGCTGAACTTCATCCATGTGGGCCAGCGTTTTGCCAACTTGTCCTGGGCTCCCCAGTGCTCCTTTGTTTAGTCCACAGAGCTGGTGTCCTTGAGCCATGCCCAGCAAACAGAAGGCGTCCCTCTAGGGTGCTGGCTGAGCCCCTGGGTATCCTCTTAGGATAAAACCTCAGGCGTCCACAGCCCATGGGGAAGGGTCTAGGGAGGGAGCCCCAGGCAGGCGGTGGCTTCCAGTTCCCTCGTGTCGCGGCCTGAGCTTCACCAGCTTGGTTCACCCCAGGGGTGCCAATCCCACCCCAGGGTCTCCCAGGGGCTCTGGCTCACTTTGCCCTCCTTCCTGCGCCCTAGGAGGAGATTCAGCAGCTGAAGAGCAAGCTTGAGAAAGTGGAGAAGGAGCGGAACGAGCTGCGGCTCAGCAGTGACCGCCTGGAGACCCGGGTGAGTGAGTGATTCCCAGCACCAGACAGACTGACTCCCCTCTGCAGGGTGCCTAGTCCAGGAGGCCCCCCCCCCACCACCACTGTTCCAGCTGAGTGAGGCAGTTGGTTCAACCGGTGGTGACTCCCTCCCCCAACCCCAGATCTCAGAGCTGACATCGGAGCTGACGGATGAACGTAACACAGGAGAGTCCGCCTCCCAGCTGCTGGACGCAGAGACCGCGGAGAGGCTCCGGGCTGAAAAGGAGATGAAGGAGCTGCAGGTGAGGGCAGGGCCAAGCTAGCAGCTGCCATACACGCTAGTGCCTGTCCACTCCCCCTAAGACAGGTGGCGTCTTTGCCACCAGCCCAGCACTCCTGTCTGCCCTGGGTAAGCTTGTGACTGTGGTCTGTGTGGTTCAGGGTCACGGGCGGTACTGAGTGAGGGAGTGGGGCAGCGCAGCACATAACTGCCTCTCTGCAGACCCAGTACGATGCGCTGAAGAAGAAAATGGAGCTGATGGAAATGGAGGTGATGGAGGCCCGTCTCATCCGGGCAGCTGAGATCAACGGGGAAGTGGCTGATGGCGACACAGGTGGGTCAGAGGCCGGAGGACTTGGCAGTGGCCTGAGTGGCGAGTTCTGAGGCCCAGCCCTGGATAACCACACCCCTTGTCTCCTGGCTGTAGAGATGTTACAAGGCTGCGTGACATAAATTGATGAGAAAGTAGAGGTGCCAATAAGTGCAGGGGATTATCATGGAGGGAGGTAACAATGGCCACCCACTCCAGTATTCTTGCCTGGAGAATCCCATGGACAGAGGAGCCTGGCAGGCCACAGTCCATGGGGTCACATGAGTCGGACATGACATAGCGACTAAACCACCACAGCAACCATGATGATGAAAATGTTTTGAGGACCACATTCTGGCGGCCCTTGGGAGAAGACAGCACACGTGGCCACATCACTCTCTCTAGGCTCGCTAGTGGTTCCTTCTGCCTTGGAAGGAAGTCACCAATCCAGGAACCTTTCTGAGTCCCTCTGGCTGACTCCACCTGCTCTCCCAGCCTTCGTCCCCCTCCACCCTTTCTCGGGGACTCCCAGCATCTCATTCATCCCCTGTCTGCCCCCACCCCACAGGCGGCGAGTGGCGTCTGAAGTATGAGCGAGCCGTGCGGGAGGTGGACTTCACCAAGAAACGGCTCCAGCAGGAGTTTGAGGACAAGCTGGAGGTGGAGCAGCAGAACAAGAGGCAGCTGGAGAGGCGGGTGAGGCTGGTGCAGGGAGTGGAGGCCCGTGCCTGGGAGGGGCGGGGAGGGGCTTGGCGCCACGTGTTGGCGTGGGGAATGGCCAGTGAGCCAGGCAGGCCCTGGGAGCACTAGGGAAGGGCTGATGTTGGATGTGAGGGACAACCAAGGGCAGACTATTGTCAGAGTGTCTTAGATTCCCCGGACAACCCTGACTTCATCCTTGGTCCCCAGACCTCCCTCTCCTTCATGCACCTCCCTCTCCTCACCTCCTCCACCAGTACCTCCAGGCCTCTCGATGGGCGCTGACCCTGCACCCCCATCTCACCCGCCTAGCTCGGGGACCTGCAGGCAGATAGTGATGAGAGCCAGCGGACCCTGCAGCAGCTCAAGAAGAAGTGCCAGCGGCTGACGGCCGAGCTGCAGGACACCAAGCTGCACCTGGAGGGCCAGCAGGTCCGCAACCACGAGCTGGAGAAGAAGCAGCGGAGGTGGGTGGGTCCCCTGGCCAAGATGTAGAGGACCTCCTTGAGCAGCTCCCTGCCTCCCTCCAGGGAGGAGAGACGAGAGGGCCTAAATTTGGCAAGGGCATCATCTTCCTGGTCCCTCGCCCTGGAATCGGAGTCAGGGTCTGACTTCTGACCTCCGAGGTGTGTGTAGACCACAGCATTCCTGACGGCCTGCTCGGGGCTCTGCTCTTAGATGTTGCCTCCTCCACGCCCGAGTATGTGCTGTTACCCTACCTGGGATCTGGAAGGATGGACGTCACCCAGGACCCACGCAGGAACCACTCCATGGCGGTCCTGCCCCTTGTACCCCCCAACACCCGGCTCCCCATTCCCATGCCCCGGCCCCACCCCCGCCCCTGTTGCCTCAGCTACACAAATACAGACTCCTGGCTGATGTCATTAAACTACCTGCCACTTCCATCTCATTATGATAATGACCCGAAGTGGCAGGGTGGGGGGGGGACAACCCTTGCAGGAGAAAAGCCAATCTAAATTAATTTCCCAGGCGAGGATGGGAATGGGACGCCTTTATTAGGAACAGGGAGGCACCCACACATTCTGGGAACAGCAGGATGCTCCAGGGAGTGGGGTGGACACCCAGTTCCCCTCTGCAGAGATCGGGTTCTCAGCAGAGGCACTGGTTGCTTTTGTGAAAGGACAGCCCCACAGCCCTGGGGGTGAGGAGGGCAAGGCTGGGTCCCTCCAGGGACCTGGGGTTACCCTTGGCCTCCTGGGCTCATTGCCAAGTGAGGGGCACTAGGAAAGCCTTATATTCCTCCCTCCCAGTGCTCTGACTCTCTGCTCTCCTGGTTCTTATCTGTACCCGCACCCTCCCTTTTACCTAGAGGCAGGCACCCTTAGGGGCCCCCCTCGGAGCACCCCATGACAGTGCCAGCTCGACCTAGTTACTATCTTGCTGCACTCCCCGCTGGGCAACTTATTAAGTTTCAGCAGGCCTGGAGTTTTCTTACTTTTTTTTTTTCTTGACGTGGGGTTGGGATGGGAGTGAGCTCATCAGTTTTCCACAGGGACAGGAACCCGATTAGCTATTCCAGGAAGGTGTTAAGAGGAATTTCAGCAATTTGCTCCTTGTTTGGAGTCACTGGGCAGGAGATGGAAGGCTAGGAAGTGGAGGAACAAAGGAGGAGCCCCTGACCCCAGCCGTGGCCTGTGTTCCCCCTTGAAGCATGCTGCCAACTGGGTACAGGGGATGGGGCCTCCAGCCTAGGGTGGGGTGTCCTGGGGTGATGGGGTGCTGCTGGGACAGGTAGGCCTGGGTAGAAGCTGGGGCCCAGAGGTGGGGCAGCAGCCAGTTGCTCTGTCTAGAGCTGTAGAAAGTGAGTGAGATGAGGCAGGATGTTCATTTCCACCCCTTCTGCCTTTACCCTGGTCCCTCTTCCTATCCTTTGATCTGTTGAAAGAGAAAAGGCTGAGACTTAATGCCAGAGGAGAGTCTGTCCACTTCTTTCCTGGAAGCAGTCTGTAGGTCCCTCTTAGGCCCTCTTGGTGAAATGCTCCCCTACCCCTTAATCCCAGACCAGGTTGCTCAGCAGGGCCCTGGTGGCCTGACCTGTAAACTCTCTGTGCTGGCCCCAAGTTCAGGCTGCATGAGTCCTCCCGTCTTGCACCCTGTCCGGGTCTGTGGCACCACTTCCTGGCAGCCTCCGGGTGCTGGAGGCCCGGACTCTTCCTTTATCTGATGGAGCCGCCATGGCCATGCTCCCTGGCAGGTTCGACAGCGAACTCTCACAGGCACATGAGGAGGCTCAGCGAGAGAAGCTGCAGCGGGAGAAACTACAGCGGGAGAAGGACATGCTCCTCGCCGAGGCCTTTAGCCTGAAGCAGCAAATGGAGGTGTGTGGGGCTGCCCGCCATCCGCACCTCCCCCCGCCCCAGGCTCGGGCCCACCCAGGACCAGCCTCATCTTCTCTTTCTCTCCAGGAGAAAGACATGGACATCGCAGGATTCACCCAGAAGGTTGTGTCACTGGAGGCCGAGCTCCAGGACATTTCTTCCCAAGAGTCCAAGGATGAAGCCTCTCTGGCCAAGGTCAAGAAGCAGCTCCGAGACCTGGAGGCCAAGGTCAAGGATCAGGAGGAGGAGCTGGACGAGCAGGCGGGGACCATCCAGATGCTGGAGCAGGTGCTAAGGGCTGGGCCAAGGGAGGCAGCACCATCCTCTCCGCAGCCCCGGGGTGTGGGCCAGAGCAGGACAAGATCCCGAATCCAATCGGTCGTCACTTCTCTTATTCACAAAGTACTGAGGGGGCATCTGATCTGTGCCAGCCACAGTGTGAAGATAATTAAGCTTTTTCATGGCACTTTCCACGAGAACAGATCTTAATTGAGCTCCACTGGTGAGGGGCTCAGGAGGCAGGGCAGCTGGAAGGCCGTGAGCCCGTCCAGCCTGCCACTGAGCCACCGTGTCAGTTCAGGCAGCTAGAGCCCGGAGGCCAAGTGGAAAAGCGGCAGGATTGCCCCCACGCCCAGCAGCCTTCCCTGGGCCTGTGCCAGGCCTCTAGTAAAGGAGTTCAGTTTCTCTGGAGAAGCCAGCTGCCACCAGAGCAAGGTGGGAGCAAGGGAACTGCTGGCAGAGATGTTCCCTGCTCCCGAGCCCGGGGAGAGCGGCCGATCGAGGTGCGGTGGGGAGGGGTCGGGGTACTGCCGGGGAAGAAACCCAGCCCTTACTCCCACCCACCTGCAGGCCAAGCTGCGACTCGAGATGGAGATGGAGCGGATGAGGCAGACCCATTCCAAGGAGATGGAGAATCGGGATGAGGAGGTGGAGGAGGCCCGGCAGTCGTGTCAGAAGAAGGTAAACCAGTTGGCTCTGACCCGTCCGGTAGAAACACTGGTTCCCCCATCAGTGTGTTACAGTAAGAACTTTTCTAGATGTAAACTATTACATATAGGATGAGTAAACCCTAAGATCTTACCATATAGTGCAGGGAGCTATATTCAATATCCTGTGATAACTCATAATGGAGAGGAGCATTTTTTTAAAAAGAATGTCTTTATGTATATAACGAAATCACTCTGCCGTACAGCAGAGATTGGCCCAACATTGCAGATTAACTATATTTCAGTTAAAAAACAAATCTAATGTAAAGGCTTTTCTGTTTTCTTTATCTCTGTTGTCATTCAGTCGCTCAGTCGTGTCTGACTCTTTGCGACCCCATGGACTGCAGCACGCCAGGCTTCCCCGTCCTTCACTATATTCCATTGCTATTCAGGACTGGGAAGCTCTGCTTGGGATCCTGGCATTGGCCAGGATGTGTGCTGCTCTGAGGGTCTGTAGAGAGGCCCAGGCCCTTGGGGAGTTAACACGCCCCGCTTTCTGTGCCAAGCTGCAGGCAGAAAGGCTCTGGAACAAGGGCTCCCACCTGGGCCTGTGCCGCTGCTCGTGGCCTGCCATCCCTCCCCTTCCTCCCCGGCTGCTCTGAAACACTGGGAACTTTGAGTTCAGGGTCTGCCCCTCCAGGTCATCCGTCCTCAGCCCCTGCCCCACTCTTCTCTCACGGGCGTGGGGGGAGTCCAGCAGGGAAGGGGCTGCCTGGCACCTGACTCTGAAGGGACCCATGGGCCCCTGTTTGCAGTTAAAGCAAATGGAAGTGCAGCTTGAGGAAGAGTACGAGGACAAACAGAAGGTGCTGCGGGAGAAGCGGGAGCTGGAGAGCAAGCTGGCCACGCTCAGTGACCAGGTGAGCAGAGACCGCTGGCTACGGCGTGGAAAGCCAGGAGCAGGAGGGCGCTGGGAGCTCCGTAGGGCCCTGCCATCACCTGCAGGAGGGTGATGACCACCCAGGGCACACTGGGCTTTCTCGCTTCAGCTGGTGTAATCCCAGCACTGCCACTGTCGTTGCTCATTAAGGTGTCTCAGAGTGAGGGCAGGGCGAGGAGGGGGCTTGGGCAAGACAAGAGGAGGCCCCAGGGCAGAGCCCAGAGCCCCAGCTCCTGGTGTCTATCCAGGTGAACCAGCGCGACTTCGAGTCAGAGAAACGGCTCCGGAAAGACCTGAAGCGCACCAAGGCCCTGCTGGCAGACGCCCAGATCATGCTGGATCACCTGAAGAACAACGCACCCAGCAAGAGAGAGATCGCCCAGCTGAAGAACCAGGTATCCGCAGACAGGACGTCATCAGTTCCCTCACCTTCTCGCCCCTGCCGGTGGTTCTTGAGTCCTTGGGAAGGAAGGTGACTGGGAAGTGGGGAGAAGCTGGACTCCTGAGGGTCAGCATGTGCTGCAGGCATGACTGTCAAGCCCAGGGTGGTGAGGATGGCCCCGCACCTGCCACCCCATCATAGGCAGGGACCTCAGTGCACTCATAACCATCACAGCCCTGGGGTCTGAAGCGAACGGAGGAGGAGGAGAGCGCTGGGGTTCCCTCTCCCCCGGGAGCCTCCTGCACAGCCCCCCTTCCCCCAGGGAGTGGCTGACATCTCTCCCTGGGGCGGGGGCGGGGGTTGGCTCTATGTTCAGTTGGAGGAGTCAGAGTTCACTTGCGCAGCGGCCGTGAAAGCGCGGAAAGCGATGGAGGTGGAGATCGAAGACCTGCACTTGCAGATCGACGACATCGCCAAGGCCAAGACAGCGGTAAGGACGCGGGGTGTGCAGGGCCAGACGCGCGGGGCTGAGGGATGATGGAGCCATGACTGTGGCTCCTTTTACCCCAAACAAGGCTCCTTCCCCAGCCCAGGACTTTCTGCAGGGAGAATAGGCCTCCACTCCTCTGCCTCTCCCCACTTAGAGGCCTGGGAGGGGGCGGCGAGATGGAAGAGGAAGCCAGCGAGGGCCCATCTCCCTGTTTAACCACCTGCCTGTGGGAGCTTGGCCACGGGCCTCAACACCATAAATAAAGCAGCTAATGTGGCTGAGGGATGTAAACAGGTACCTGGAGATTAGCAGAAGCACCGATAAGAGGACGGGATGACTCTGTTTCCCTCCCCTGCCCCCAGCCAGCCCCACTGACAAGCCCAAGCGGCAGCTAATTAGAGCGCTTATTTAATGCCTCCCTTTTAATTCCCCACCTCTCCCACGGCCCATCCATCGGCCGAGAGCTCATTACTGGGATGCGGCCACTGGTATACCTCCTCAGGCAGGGAACGGGGCAGGGGAGGAGGCTGGGCTTGGCTCTGGGCTCCCTGGCCCCCCAGCTAGTCCCCCAGCTGCAGAGAGATGCCAGTCTCCTGGGCTTGATTTATCCCTGTGACATTTGTGCTCCTCAGCAGTTTTCAGGTGAGTAATTCAAATTCCTTAATTGTGTTAAAAAAGGCTGTTATAAAATTACCATTTTATTTAAATCCAAGTTAATAAATTTCTTGGCGGAGGCATCCCCAGCTCCCTGCAGCCCGGTAACAAGATGGATGGGGGCAGAGAAGGAGCCAACGCAGTCATTTTGGTTTGGAATTACTGGCTAATAGATTCATTCATTTCCTGAAGCTGCTGTTGGCTGTCTCTTCACCTCCCTACAGGAGTGGACTGGCCGTGGGGACTGGATGGGCAGGGAGTAGGCAGTCCCAGGGGGGAGCAAGAGTCCAGGCCAGGAGAGCTTCACAGATTTGAGGGGTCCTTCCCTGGAGCCTGGAGAGTGCACAGAGGTTAAGGCCTAGCCGCTAGTGTTGGACGATGGGTCGTTTGGTTCTGCGTAGACCTTTTCTGCCTTCTCATTAGCCTCCAAAGAGCTGTGGGGAAGCAGCTGTCATTTAGCCCAGGGTTTGCTTGAGCTGGGCTTCCCAGGTGGCGCTATTGGTAAAGAACCTGCCTGTTAATCCTGGAGATATGAGAGACATGGGTTCCATCCCTAGGTTGGGAATATCCCCCGGAGGAGGGCATGGCAGCTTGCTCCAGTACTCTTGCCTGGAGAATCCCATGGACAGAGGAGCCTGGTGGACTACAGTCCATAGACTTGCAAAGAGTTGGACACGACTGAAGTGATTTAGTGCGCGCACGCGCACACACACACACACACACACACACACACACACACACGCTGCCTAAGCTGCAAAGACAGTCCTTCCACTCAGCTCCCAGGCCCACAGCAGGGCAGGACAGGCAGCTCCCTGAGCATCACTGGTCCTGGTACCCCCTCCCGCGGGTCCGCCTGGCCCCATCATTAGCTCCTCCCACTGGTGGTGGCAAAGGGAGGTTCAGTCTTCCAACCCAGGGCCCTTAGTCACGCCAGGCCTGATGCTCTCGGTCTGTCTTTGCCTCTGTCCAGCTGGAGGAGCAGCTGAGCCGCCTTCAGCGTGAGAAGAATGAGATCCAGAACCGCCTGGAGGAGGATCAGGAGGACATGAACGAGCTGATGAAGAAGCACAAGGCGGCCGTGGCTCAGGTACCCTGCCCAGGAGTGCCCCGCCACCCCCTGCACGGGCACCATCCCCTGGTCCTCCTTGTAGGTCCCCGTCACAGTGCCTGTGTGCCCTGGCCCTCCTAGTGGGGCAGAGCGGCTGGAATTTGGTGCTCATGGGAAGTCCTGCTTCGGCACTCTCTCCTTTTCCAGGCCTCCCGGGACCTGGCTCAGATGAATGATCTCCAAGCTCAGCTAGAAGAAGCCAACAAAGAGAAACAAGAGCTGCAGGAGAAGGTGGGGACCAGGATTTCCCTTGGTAGAGAGAGGGTGCCAGGGTCCCTGTTCGTGGGGACCAGCTCTCAAGCTCACAGGTTCACACGTGCTTCTTTCTGCCATCAGTCAGCATAAGTGAGTGCAAAGGCCTCGGCTTGGAGCCATATCACCATAGCAGATGTTTTTGGCTTCAACCGCCTCATTTTGCATTTCTATTCCCTCTCTGGTCCTTAGTTCTCTCCTTTCTCTCCAAAGGGCAAAATCTTTGCCAGCATGGGGTCAGGTGGGGGCTGCCCCTGTCTCAGGGACCCATCCTTCCAGCTCTCTGTGCATCCCTCCCTCCCCCAGCTTCTGGTCACCATGGTGATCCTGCAGGCAGGGAAGTGGGTACAGAGCCTGCCCTTTCCCTTCCCAGGCTCAGTTCTTTCTTCCTTTCCTGCCCCCGCCCCCCAGCTACAAGCCCTCCAGAGCCAAGTGGAGTTCCTGGAGCAGTCCATGGTGGACAAGTCCCTGGTGAGCAGGCAGGAAGCTAAGATCCGGGAGCTGGAGACACGCCTGGAGTTTGAAAGGACCCAAGTGAAGCGGCTGGAGGTGGGCACACTCTTCCCCCATCCCTTCCGCAGTGGGGAAGGGCCGAGTGGCCCCGGCTGGAGCCACGCATGCTCAGCAGGGCCAGGCAGGCCTGAGGCCGCTCCTCCGAGGCCCCTGCCAAGCTGCCAGGCCAGCTGACGGGGCGGGTGCCTTCTCCCCCGCCCGCCCGGCCTGCTCTCTGGGCACCGCGGAGCCTGCCTGCTTTACATTCTGTTTCCGTGCGTGCTTTCTGCCAAGGGACCACAGCAGCTTAGCTTTTCGTCTTCATATTTTCCTCCACCGTGCGCTCCCCCCGTCGGTCCCCTCTCTGCTCTCCGGCAGGGTCATAAATATGCAGCGGATGGCGCCACTTCTTCAAGGGCTGGAGTCTGTCCTCTCATCTCACCGCTTGCTCTTTCTCTTTCCCTTTCTTATTCCCGTTTTCCATCAATTTTCCCCACGCCTGCTGTCTCTGCTTTTCTCCTTCCCTCTTCATTTTCCTCCATTTTTGCCCCATTTTTCCCCTCTCCCTCTGAGTCTGTTTTCTCCCCAATCTCATTCCCTTCCTTATCCTGAGCTATTTCTTCCTTTCTCCCCATCCCTTTTGTCCTCTCCCTCTACTTTTCATTCTCTTCCCTCTAACCCTTCTCCTTTTTCTGTTCACCCCCGTCTTCTCCTCCCATCCCTCCTGCCTCCTAACTATAATCTCCGTCCTCCACATTTAATCCTTTCGGTTCCACTCTCCCGAAGCCCGCATGCTCCAGCACCTTTCTTTCCTGCAAAGCAGGCAGGAAGAGAGAGGCTGGCAAAATGATCTCTCTGGGTTTACAGCCCCCTCTCCCTATTTCCTTTCCTCCATCTCGAGCGTGTAAACATCATCTGAGCACTGGCTGGCCTCCATGAGAAGTGTGTTCATGGTGTGGGTGCTGAGCATCCCTGCCTCCTTCCCCCTTCCCCCTGAGTCAGTGGAGCAGGAAAGAGGATGGGGATGGAACCAGGTGACCACAGGGCTGGCAATGGGCCTCGGAGAGTATTAGTACCCTTGACCTAGGAAGAAAACGTGGCTGAACTTCCTAAGACAAGGTCGCAGCTCTCCAGAGAGCTAGAGAGAATTAGAGGAGGCTTAGTAACAGTCCGTGCTCTGCCTTGCTAATATTCTGGTCCACAGCGTACACACAGAAGGGGTTAAGTAGGTTGCCTCAGGCCCCAAAGCTCTCACAGGGCAGAGGAGGCTGGTGGGCTGGTGGACGCGGAGCAGGCTGCAGCACTTGCCTCCTTTTCTCGAGGGTCCCAGTCCCTTGCCTCAGCTCTGTCTCTCATTTTGCCTTCAGCTCAGACAGGCAGTATTGTGGTTTAGATGCACAGAATGTTAAACACCTATGGCCCTTAAAGAGGTAGCCTAGCACTCTTATTATTTTCAAGACATAGAGGCTAGGGGCTGAGAGCGGAGCCCCCATGGCCGGTCCAAGATTAGGACCAGAGGCAGGGTGCTTCCCTCACACTGCCCCCATCTCCAGGTTGTTTTCTGCTTGGCATCCTATGGCCTTGGAGAGGAAATGTGTTCAAGTTTCTGGGGAAAGAGAGATTCATCAGGTTTAGAGGGATGGCTTTGTGTTCGGCACGTGATGACTGTTTAGTCTCCTCCTCAGAATTCTCAGTGAAGTCATTTGCCTCTGAGCACCGGTTCTCACTTTAAGAGCTTCTGGGTTTAGGGTCTCTGGGGGAAGCCCTGCTGCCTGTGGAGGCCCCACACATGGTGTCAGTGTGGACTCTAGACAGAGCCCTCTTCCGACCTAGATGATGGTGGTGATGATGATGTAGCACCTTTCATCTTCCAGATGTGCTGTCACCTCCCTTACCATATTTGGTCCTTAAAAGACCCCTGGGGAATAGGCGTTATTCTCCCCCTTATACAGAAAAGCAAAGGGAGCCCCCCCCCCGGTGGGGGGCTTTAGTGCCTGCCCACCTGAGGCCGGAGCTCTGCCACACCCCGCTCTCTGCCCAGCTGATGGATCTCTCTTCCCACCGCCCTGTCCAGAGCCTGGCCAGCCGGCTCAAGGAAAACATGGAGAAGCTGACTGAGGAACGGGATCAGCGTGTGGCGGCTGAGAACCGGGAGAAGGAGCAAAACAAGAGGCTGCAGCGGCAGCTCCGGGACACCAAGGAAGAGATGGGCGAGCTCGCCAGGAAGGAGGCCGAGGCGAGCCGCAAGAAGCATGAACTGGTAATGCCCCCCACCAGCACGGCCGCAGGCTGGCATTCCTCTGAGAAGCCGCTAGACACACACCTCCCCACCCTGGGCTTGTGGAGGTGGGCTGCAAAGAAACCATGGTTTAGAGAACTGGAGGGATGAGAACGTGCCAAGAGGACAGACGGTCCATGAAGCCTGAGGGCAGGCCAGGGGCTGAGGGTGGTACCAGTCTCTGCCTCAGGCGAGGCCGGGCCCCCACAGCCCAGCCACACCAGGGCAGAGAAAGTTCTGCAGGTTCTCTGCAGCACCCACAGAGCGGCTGCTGGCCCAGAAAGATGTGAGGCCAGCCTTTTCTGGGGCAGCTGGATGAGACGCCAGCCCTCCTGTGGACTGGACTGCCCCCTCTCCCTCCTAGGAAATGGATCTGGAGAGTCTGGAAGCTGCTAACCAGAGCCTGCAGGCTGATCTGAAATTAGCGTTCAAGCGCATCGGGGACCTGCAGGCCGCCATTGAGGACGAGATGGAGAGCGACGAGAACGAGGACCTCATCAACAGGTGAGGGGCCTCTGTGGCAACTGCGGCCGGTTCAGAGGCCCTCGTGACCACCTCCAGACCAGGTAGAACAGCTGCAAACCTGGGTCTCCCCACCACTGAGCCGCCTGCCCACCGTCCCCTCACTGCCATACCCCAGCACGGACCCCCGTCCGGCGGCGGCTGAGGGCTGGACAGGTGGGGCTTGCATGAGATGCCCTCCCCATGTCCTCCCCGTACCCCTCCCCGGGCCTCCTGGGACCTGGCTCTCCAGCTCTGCCTGTTCAAGATGAGTTATTCCCCCGTTTAGCTGCATTTCTGATGGCGCCTGCCCCACTCTGGGGAGAGCAGAGATTTAAGGGCCGTGGTGCCTTGTTACCGTGCCAGAGATTTTCTCTCATAAAACCCACCCAGGGAAAGGTTTAGGAGGGAGATTTGTGGTCTTAGGCTGAGGAGGCAGTCACGAGGCAGGCAAACCAGCAGTAGAGGTGAGTCAGGCCCTGGAGAAGCTCCTAAGGCTGCCCTGGGCAGACCCCCTGCCCTGGGATTTGCCCCCATCCCACGTGAAGGCTGGGATTGCATCCTGCTTCTGGGCTGTCCAGGGAGCCTGCTTCTTTGGGGCAGGGAGATGGAACCCTAGGCAACCTCCCTCTGGGTACAGCACTGTCCTACCTCCTGGTCTCAGCCAGCCAGAGCCTTGTCTTGCTGAAAAAGGAGCGGTTCCTCGGCTGGAGGGTCCACCCTGGTTTGCCCGTTGACTTTTCTGTGTTCTTTTGGCCCCCTCGCCCACCCTTTTCTTTCTGTTTCCAGTTTGCAGGACATGGTGACAAAGTATCAGAAAAGAAAGAATAAACCGTGAGGACTGGAGCGCGCGCGCTCTCTGCCTCTCCTCGCGTGGTGTCTAACCACCCCTAACCCCGGGCTCCCGCTGTGCTGCATGTCGCATGTGGACACACAGTGACCTCCACTCCTCGAGCTAGTCTCTCACGCTAACCGGGCTGACTCTCTCCTGGGGGAGGCAGGGCGACAGGCCATGAGGGTGCTCCGCCTGGGAGGCTCCTGGCCCCCACATCCCTGGTCGGCAGGATGGGGGCTCCATCAGAAAGGAGAGCAGTGCCTCAGTGGGTGGTCCCCACGGTCTGCCTTCCTGGGTTTCGGCCTCGCCTCCCTCAGAAACCAAGGGTAGCCACTTTCTGGCCTCTTTCTCTTGGGGGAAGATCTGGGTTGGATTTCTCCCCATCCGTGGGCTCCTTTGGAGCCTGACCTGCCTGAAAGAAGTGGGTGTGTTTCATTTTGAAAGGTCTGCCCCCTACTTTTGGAAGACAGGGTAGAAGGAGAGGGGCATCTAACAGTTACTTGTTGGGGGAAAGCAAGCAGCTGTGGATGATGGCGTGGCAGGGGAGGGAACACAGCCAGCTGTGTTTACTGTGCCCCACCCCACCCCCGCCCCCCGTGGGCTTCCCTGGCAAGGAGGCCCCAGGCATTGGTGCCGGAGCTGTCCGTCAGGTGGGGGGAGCCCAGTAGCCCCACCCCCTTTCCGTTTCCTTCTTTCTGGGTGGGAGCAGAACGGCAGGTGCAGATGCTTGCGCCTTCAGGAGGATTAGGTCGAAGTGATCCTCGGTCAGATTCACCAGGGCTGGTCTTTGGAGGTTGTTATTCCAGGGCGGCCTTGGGTTTCCACCCCTCCCCTCTCTCTTGCTGGCAGGCCTCCTCCTCTGGCCAGGATGGGCTGGCGGCAGCGCAAAGGAATCCGTGAGAGCTAATGATAAATGTAATAGTGTGTAACAGTGATAGAGGGCCGCTGGAGCCCGGTTGTCACACACAATTAATATCCCCCGCCGTTCTGTCTCCGTTTGTTTGTTCCCCCGCGATTCGGCTCCCAGTTAACTAATAGCACATGAGCCTGGACATAAATTGTATTTGACGCGAGGTTTAATTCCGACCATTTAAAATTTCAACTGCCCCCTGAGCCGGCCTGGCCCTGGAGTTTGTTTACGGGCCTGATTATTTAAGGAAAAGAAGCCAAACATCCTCTATAGGCTTGAAACTAAAGAGAAGGCAAGGGCAGGCAGGCCAGCTTCTCAACTCATTCGCTGCTCTGAATGTAAGGAGGCAAATTCGTATTCTGGGCCCGTGACTGTCTGTCCCCTGTGTGTTCCAGCCCTGCAATCCTTGGGCTGTTGGAGCTTCGAGGCCTGATAAAATGCGCATTTCAGATCACATTCTAAACTCCTGCACACATGCGCATGCACACAGACCAGTGTGCACTCATGCAGGCACACAGGGGTCTGCAGTCCTAGCCCAGTTCCTGCTGATGGTAGAGGGGTGGTGTGGGTCTTTCCCTCGGAAGCTCTGGGCCCAAGCTCCAAGTTATTGAGCGCGCGTGCTAAGGCGGGCGAAAAATAATGTTTCGATTTACTTAGAGATACAGTTGTTATTGCCATAACCTTAATGAAAGCAGTAAACAGCACAGTATTAAGGGAGATTTATACAGAAACGCTTTTAACATGTAGACATAGATTTTGCGATGCATACAGCACCTCCTTTCTAAAGGCAATCAATATGGTTATGAACGGCGGTGATAAATTACAGGCTCTGAAGCTGGAGAAGGAGGTTTTTTGCACGGGTGTATAAATCAGGAGGTATTGGCGTTCCACGGGGCCCGTGCACCACAGTAAATCTGCCGGGCTCAGACGGGGCACAGGGCTTGCATTAACGGTTTCGGGGTTGTCTACTAAACTCCTGTTTACCCGGGGCATCAGCCAGCTTCGTCTTTGTTATAATTCTGTATTTGACGGAAGCCCATAAAATACGCCTCTTTATTCCCCTCCCCACAGTCCTGCTGTCTCACAGTCCCCAGAACAGTGTCTGGTGGTGTGGTTTCTTCTCTGTGCATGCGTGTGTGTGTGTGTGTGTGTGTGTGTGTACATGCCTGCGTGACTATTTATTCAAGAACATAATTCAGGAACGGGGCTGCTCCTGTTGACACAAATGACAGGAAATTTATATCAAGGAGAAATCCTAGCATATCCCTAGCAGGGAACATGGTGAGCAGACATTTTGCAGAATTCTAGAAGCATTCTCACTCAGAAGCTGTCTCCAAGCCCTTGCTGCTTTGTGAAGAAATCTCCATGATTTCAGCATCAGAATTTGACTCCTGTGAGCTATCAAGAGGGCTCAGGTCAGCTTGGCCAATAAAAGCCTTTGGGAAGCAAGAGCCACAGGCTTCCTGAGGGAGGAGGAGGAGCTAGAAGAGACAGGGCCTTTGCCTGGGACTTCTGGGTGCCCCCCGCCCCGATCTCCAGGTTCAGCTTGAATCTTGAAGCTGTGACCAGCCCCTTGGAAAATGCTGCTGCCCCCACCCTGTCCTTTCTTTGTTTCTTAAAGGCCAAGGGGAGCTTCAGGATGGATCTGGGGTATGGTCTGTCGTATCCAGGTTGGCATTGCCATCAGCCCAGGAGACTCCAGGTTCAAGTTCACTTAAGTCATAATAAAGCCCTTCTCTTCTCCATCCCATCGCCACCAACCCCTCTCTTGCAGTGAAGTCTTGGAAAGTGGGAGCATCTGTAGCCACATTTGGGGGAATAGGCAGACAAGAACAGCAGAACAGGCCTCAGGGAGGAGGTGAAGGGCCCCGGACTCTGCTTTTTAACCAAGAGCCATTTATCTGTAATTGACGAATGGACGGTCTCCCTGTTGTTCTCGGTCGGCTGAACAGCAGCTTGTCCCAGAAGGTGGGGTGGAGGTGCCTCCATGCCCCCCAGGGTCTTCTTGGTGGCTGTCACACAGTGTGACCTGCTGAGCGGGGCAGGGTCCTTGTGAAAGGTGTGCTCTAGTCTAACCCCTTGTTCTCTCTGACTTACTGATGCGCATGCCGCCCTGCATCCCACCCCCCGCTGAGGCAAACCGGCTGCCACTCAGTGCTCCCTCCTGGACTGTGGGTCATCACCTCTTTCCAGCTTTGCCTACCTTTCTGCTCCTCATCCCACAGCGAGGGGGACTCAGACGTGGACTCAGAGCTGGAGGACCGGGTCGACGGTGTCAAGTCATGGCTGTCAAAAAACAAGGGGCCTTCCAAGGCGGCTTCTGACGATGGCAGCTTGAAGAGTTCCAGGTAAGCACGTGGCCTTGGCTGGGAGCAAAGACCACCTCGTGCCCCAGGGATGGATGAGCAGTGCCTTGATCCCAGAGGGTGCGCCTTACGCCACTTGCATCTCTTTCTTGCCTGGAGGGGCCTAGGCACATAGGATATGCACAGGAGGCCAGGTTTCTTCTTACTCAGGGTCTGCATCACCATTATTTTGCCTAAGGAATGTTTTCCTTTACTGGGTTCAGGGCTTTGGTTTGGTGTAGGTTTAATTTCATCCCCACTCATTTATTCAACAAAGGTTGATTGAACTGCCTGGTGGTTTGTGTCCTTGGAATCAAGACTGAAATAGGGCACAGGGGGACTCTGGATCCCACAACCCTGGACAGGGCCAGCTTTGGACCTCTGAGGTCTTGGTAGGAATAGTAGAAGAAGAGGCCTCAGTTCCCTTTGATTCCCCATCACAGCTACAGACACACTTCATTCTCTGCCCGTTCTCTTCTTCCTCTGGCCTTTTCACTTGCCCTTCACTATGCTTTCTGCTAACACCCATCCACTGCAGAAACTGGCTCCCCTGTTGTCCAGGCCAGTCATAGTCTTCTGATGGCACAGGCAGCTACCCTGGAAATCTGGGACTCCAATTCCCATCCCTCACCTCTTGGCCAGCATGGGTCCCCTCCTCCTACCCCTCCTGCCACCACTTCTCTGCTGACTCTCCCCTCCCAACTCAGAGCCATCCTGATCCCCCAGGACACACTGTTCCATCCCCTCCAAGAGACAGCTGGTGTGCTGGGTAGAAAGAGTAATCCCTCTCCTCCCTCAAGGGCTTCCTAGGTGGCTCAGTGGTAAAGAATCCACCTTTCAATGCAGGAGACGTGGGTTTGATCCCTGGGTCGGGAAGATCCCCTGGAGAAGGAAATGGCAACCCACTCCAGTATTGTTACCTGGGAAATCCCATGGACAGAGGAGCCTGGTGGGCTACAGTCCAGGGGGTGGCAGAGAGCCTGGGGACATGACTTAGCAACTAAGCCACAACCACAATTCCTTCTCTAACACCCCTGAAGCCCCTTGCCAAGCCCAGCCCCTCACCACAGGCACCCAGCCGGCCCCCCTCTAATTGGCTTAATGTATTTGGCCAAACAACATTTTGTTATTGCAGAAAATGCCGCCTTCCCCACCCCACTGCCGTTCACCGCAGCGTGGCACCAGGCTGCAGGTAGTTGACAATGAAATAAATTGAACTAAACGTTTTAGAGGGGGAAAAGTGATGAAATAGAACAATAGTCTAATTTACATGACATTCTCCGTGAAGCTATTTTCACTGACGCAAATTATTTTGCTTCATTTCCTCCGACGTGCTCACCGCCACTTTGCCAGAGCCGCTGCCGAGCTCTCCTCCTTCCTCCTTCCTCCTCCTCCCCCCCCCCCCCCCCCCCAGTGTCTTTATTCTCTGGGTTTAATGCCTCTCTCTCTCTCTCTCATTCTCTCCCCCGCTCCCCGCTGCCCCCAAATCTATCCATGCCACAGAACCGCCCTCAGCACCGCGGGGAAGGAGGGCAAGGGGGTGGAGGAGAGGCCGGCCTCGGTGCTCAGCTCGCTGAGCTACCGAAAGCGGCTCACCCTGAAGGACTCGATCGGGGGCACCGGGGACGAGAATTCGCTCTTCACCACCCTGAGCGAGCGGCCGGCCTCCCCGGAGAGGCCCCCCCGGAAGGCCCGCGGGGGCCCCAAGGAGGAGCCGGGCTCGGGCAGGAAGTCCGAGGAGCCGGACGAGGGCGGCTCGGTTCTCTCGGGCGGCATCGGGGGCCGCACGAGCCGGCTGGAGAAGCGCTGGGGCTCAGACTTGGACCGGGCCTCGGCGGTCTCAGCACCGGTCAGCCGGGCTTCCTCGGCCACGCGGCGCGGCTCCGGCGGCGAGGACGGGGTGCGCTCCTCTTTGAGCTTCTCGCTGTCGGGCTCCCCCAGTTCCCGCCGCAGCACCTCCAGGCTCGACAGCCTGTCGATGACCCTCAGCCCTTCCTTGGGCCGGGCCTCGCTCCTCGGACGGGAGAGCCCCGATTCCCGCCTGTCCCTGGGCCGCAGCTGCCTGGACGACTGGGACGATGGAGCCAGCGTAGCCTTGAGCGAGGCGCACTCGCAGTACAGCCACCCGTCGTCTCTGGCCCGCAGTCTGTCGGTGCCACCCCGGCCTCGCACCTCCGCCTCCTCCACCTCGGAGGAGCCTCTGGGCTCCAGTGTCCGCCCGGTCAGCCGCCGCTCCTACCTGGACCCAGACCTGGAGGCCGCCATCAACGAGGTCCTGAGCTACAAACCCGCCCCCTTCCACCGGAGCAGCCTGGAGCCGGACTCCGAGGAGGATGACCGGAAGAGCATCCAGAGCACCCGCAGCGCCCAGCTGGACCCTCCGGAGCGAGCCACCAGCATCCGCCGCTCCGCCTCCGCCGCAGACGTGTCTCGGTCCCGCGGCAGCCGGAAGAGCCGGAGCAAGAGGAGGAGTAGCTCCAGCTCCAGCTCCAGCTCCAGCTCCGAAGATTCCTCGGAGCACAGGCGGCGGAAGAAGGGGCGCTCTCGGAAGAGCAAGAAGAAGTCCAGATCGAGAAGGAAGAGAACGGAGTCGGAGTCGTCGTCCTCCTCCTCCTCGTCCAGCGGCTCTACCGTCTCGGGCCACAGCCGCTCGAGCGTGAAGAAGGGCCCGGCTGCGGAGGACGAGGAGGCCGGGCAGGGGCGCCGGCAATCCCGGAAGGAGGAGAAGAAGCGCAAGAAGGAGGTGGACAGCCTGATGATGCGGTACCTGTACCGGCCCGAGAGCGACTAGTGCAGTAGGTGGCGCCCGGCGCGGCGTGCAAAGCATGGCGTGTGCCACTCGGTGTGAACTAACGTGCTCCCGGCCCACCCGCCACCCCTCGGCCCCTCTGCGTACCTCTGCAGCGAGCCTGGCCTTGCAGAGCCTCCTGGCTTCCTCAGAGAGTGGAGGCTGGCTGAGCTTGTCAGTCGTTCTGAGCCCTGAGCCCAATCACCTGAGCTTGCTGGTGACCTCAAGTCACAGCTCCCACTTAGCAAACCCTTACCCTGGGCCAGGGACCACCCCCCTAGATACTTGCCTTATTTTATTCACTTAATCCTCACACTAACCCCAAAATAAATATCTGATCACCAGCCCATTTTCTAGGAAAAGAAGCTGAGGTTCAGGCGGATTAAGTCATTTGCCAAGGTTACAGAGCTGGAAAGTGATGTTGCCAGGATCTGAATGAAGTCTCTTCAACTCACCCTTAACCACTCCTTCATATGACCCAAGGCAGAGCACATGAGCGTAATATTTACTGTAGGGGCCTAGCAGCACACATGCAGAACTTTTGCCCACAGCCCTGAAAGGCTGGGCCCGGGAAAGGGCTGGAACTGACCCCCGGGTGTGAGTTGATGCATCAGTGGCCATCAGCAATTAAGGGGCCTTTTGCTCAGCTCTCCCTCTGCCCTACAATGTCATCTTCCCCTCTGGCATGGATCTCGAGGCTCAGAGTGCAAGGCTTACAGCACCCACAGCACCACACCCTGCAGCAGACCTGCAGATGCCTGACTCTCTCCCCACCCCTCCCACCTGAAGCCCACACATGGGCGTCACTTCGTCTTAGCTCATCTTGTGAAGTTTTAATGAATAGAAATTAGCAGCTGTTGAGTGACAGCCCCCTCCTGGCTCTCCTGCCTCTCCCAGCCTTCTCCCTGTGGGAAGGAAGATCAAGCTGTTAGACCCTTTATGCCCACACTCCCACCTCGGAAGAAAGGCAAAGACTGACTCACTGGAATACCATTGTTGCCACTCTCCCCGGTGGGCGGTGACATTTGGATCACCCTGGTTATATGAAGCTGTTTTTGGCATGGTACCCTCCCAGGGCAAGCTTGCTGCTTCCCAGGAGGTATGACCCTAGAGCGCAGCCCCCCTGGGGCACGGGTAGTGTTTCCTTGATGCATGAACTAACACACACGTGTTGCATGCTCGTGGGCCTCTTATGCAGTGATGCTGCTGAGCAAGAACACTGACTTGAGCTGCTTTCTACTGAAAAGGACCAGTTTTGTTTTAAGGAACGGAGTCTGTGAAAGCGAATGTTACTTGCAGCTGCTTGGAGATGGTGATGGGATGGGTTTGGGGAGACAGCAAGGGGGAGGTAGAACCTGAAGCCAGACCAGGCTCATGGCCACCTCAGATTCTGTGGGCCCTGAGTTGCTCCAGAACCAAGCCCTTGGACTTAGACCTGCTCTGTGGCTTCCCGCATGTGCCAGATGGTTGCAGGATTCTCTGGGAGGAGCAGGAAGCATCTCAGTTGTTCTAGGGAGCTGTTGTCAGCACCACAGTGGGAAAAGGCAGGGGTCATGATATTGTGACCTTCGCACCTTTCCACGCAACTGCCCTGCTGAACGCCCTACTGCCCGAGCACGGGAAGTCAGCTGATGGGCTATGAGGGAAGGTTTGGGAAGCAGAGGGGCCAGGCCCTTCTGAGCACTGCATTAATACCTGGAGAGGGAGACACGGGCCTACCCAGGCTATCCCACACTGCCCAGCAGCTGGTGGACTGCAGACTCCAGTGACTCAATCCGTCGTCACTGTTGACCCGGCAGGAACAAAAACACATACAACCTGTTTCTTCCCTCAGCCACCAGCACAGCCCTTTTTATCCACCAGGAACACAGGAGTCGTCCTGAAACCCTACACACCACCACCTCCAACAAGGATTGGATTCACTGTGGGCAGAGTGGACACCAAGCCAGAAGCTAACCAACCAATACAGAGCTGTCAAGAGAAGGGCAGGGGGAGAGAGGTCCTAGTTGGACTCAGGGTGAACTGGCTTTGGGCAAATAAACTGTGAAGAGTTGGGGCAGGGGCTGAGTGGCTTAGCTTCCCCCCTGGTAATGGGGACCTTCGAGAATTCTGAACAGGAAAGCCTCCACAGCAAAGGGTGGGGGAGGGGACCGCCACCCTGGGCTCGCCCAGCGGGAATTAGCTTGTGCACCAAATCATGTGTGACAGCATGGAGCAGGAAACACTGGCTTGTGGGAAGGAAAGTATTTGAAAGCATTTGGTTAAAACGTTCAAATTGCAGCCCTGACTCTTGCCCTGGGGAAGGGGGCTAGCTACCTGCTGTTGGTCACAGCTGTGGCCGCAGAAGCCACAAAGGAAACTGGCTAAGGAGCATCCGAGGTGGGAGCAGGGGAGAGAGGGGCCTGGCATCCACCCCTCCCAGCTGCCTCCGCCGCTGCTCCCAGCATCTGGATGGAATGGTGTTGAAACCCAGCTGTCATTCATCCAGGTGTCTGCCTGGCAGGCACAGGAATATGGAAGTGGGGGCTGCGGCTCCACTCTGAGGAGAGGTGTGAGGAAGGAAAGGAGCACCCCATTTTCATCTGGGTCCCAGCCCTGGCATCTACCTCACCCCCTCCTTTGCCCTTAAAATAACCCTTCTGTCTTTCCACAAAGCCAGTTCCTTCCTTTGCCCAACAGCAGACCTTAGCATTGGGTGCCCAGAAGTTGTCTAAAAAAAAAAAAGAAAAGGAAATCAGGCTCCCACTAATTCAGAATTCAAACAATCCAAAAGCTAAAATGACCCCAATTTTTCCTATGTTGCACAGTACTCGTTGAGCTTTATAATTTTGTCCCTGAGACACCCCAGAGTCCTTAAGTGCCTGTGGCCCATCCAAGTAAGGCTCATTTATGTTCAGTCTAGTTTGTATTAAATGTGTTTTGTGCTATCCTGATTCCTTTAAAAATGGTAATTCATTCATGAGACATACGATAACTATTAACCAGGCTGCCCCATTCCTGAACCATTTTGCATAATTGAACATGTATTCTATCAGGCTCTTCCTTCTCCCCAGGGGCAGAGAGAGAGAGAGAGACAGGACCTTTACACACCTGCCGGGCTCTCACCCAGGCCAGTGGGGAGAATGCAGGTTTCGTCTTGTTTTCTCCTCAGGTCACCTGTCTGGCGACAAGGTGGAGCCCTCAAGAGGCTCTGAGGCCTCAGGTCCCAGGTTCAGATTTACATATTGGCTGTGTGACCTTGGGCAAGCTGCTTCCTCTCTTTGAACCAGCTTCCTCATGACATTTTATGTGGTAAAGAAGAAGCACATCCAGCCTGCCTGGGACAGTGTCTCACATACAGGAAAATACTCAAGGGATCAAATCCTTTCCTCACCACAGTTGGAAAAGCTGAGAATGTGGTTCTTTCTTGGAGAACACTCTTTCCTCCTCTTTCAGTTTAGAGAAACAAGATCTCTGAAAGGGTTAGTAAACAAGGGCCTTCCTCGGATCCTTAAATCAGAATGGTAGGCATTGAAATCACAGGATCCCTGTTTATCCTAGCAGAAGCTCTCTAGGATCTGGAAGCAGGGTTGTGTTCCTGGGAGCCCCGGGCAGGGGCCCACTGAACACAGGGCACTGGTAGGGGTGGAGCCACCCTGGGCTGCATTTTCTCCAGCAGTACTGAAATTACAGTGCAGAAGCGAAGGTGGGAGGGGCAGGGGAGGGGTGCTCTAAGGCTTTGGAAAAGATAAAAAAGAGAAGGTGACTAGAACAGGAAGTGAGATCCCTTCCATGCTGGACACCATGAGTCTGCTCCATCCAGGGAGAAATGCTTCTTCATACCTTGGTCGGAGAGACAGTGCAAGGCTCCCAGTGGCCTGATGAAAACTATGGGGTTGGATTGTGGTACCAAGACAGGAATGACTTTGCCACCTTGAAACAGAGGTCTTGCCAGCTCCTACATCCTCTGTCTCCATTCCTTGTGAGTAGATGGTGTCATGGTCAAAGATAGAAATTCTCACTGCCCTTAGGAAAATCTGACTAGGAAGCAGGGTTATGATCTGGGAGTATTCAGTGGGGGAAAGCCTCTCCTTAGAAGGAACCTTTACTGAGACAGGCTGTAGTCCTGTAATCACCAGATCTGCAGTCTCCAAGTCAATGCAGTCCATGCACCACCTGTAGCAGCATCTTCCAGAGAGAGAGCTGAAAATGCAGAATTCCTGGGTTTCACCTATGAGCTAGCAGATGAGAACTTCTTGGGGAAAGAACACAGGGATCCGCAGCCAATTCTTACACACATTCAAGTTCGAGACCCACCGCTCTTCAGCATCGCTCTCTTCGGAGTTGTAGAAAGTTCTCAGAATCAAAGAGATGGCCTTCCTCTTACTACTCTGCGTATCTTTTGGGGAAACCGGGGAAGGCTTCTATTTCTCAATTTGTGGCTTTGGGGGAATGCTGTGATAAGGTTGGGGGGCCTCCTTTGGACCAAAGGCCTGGGTGCTGAAGGTAAAGAGCGCCCTTCCTCTGACCTTATTTCTCTCTCCCTGCAGCCCCACCAGCTACTGGAAGTCCCTTGCCCCTGACCGTTCAGACGATGAGCATGACCTTCTCGACGGCACCTCCAGGCCCCGATACTCCCACAACTATCTGAGTGACAGTGACACAGAGGCCAAGCAGACAGAAACCAACGCATAGCCCAGGGGAGTGGTGTGGACCCCTCCCACCCACTGCCGCCTGCTGCCACGGGCGCCTCTCTCGTGGGGCACAGGTCTCCCCCATCCGACTGCGGATCTGCACGGGACACCCCCGACCCTCTTCGGTCTGGGGGCTTCTCAGAAGGCTGGGGGTATCTGACATCTCCACGTGGAAGAGTGGAGGGAAGAGCAATTCTGAAAAGAGAACTTTCTGCTCCTGCCTTGGGCCACCGTGGGTGGCAGGTGGCTTGGCACCACACGGAGCCAGCAGATTGACCTCCATGTCAGCGCCCCGCTCAGGGACGGTGGACAGATTGCCTACTGGGACATTCTCGGGTTGCTGGGTCCATGGGGTGGAGTCTGGGGCAGGAAACAGCAATTCCTTCCCCCTTGGCTTGGGGCGAGGGCTTTCTCTTCTCAGTGCCTGCTGTCTATTTACTTTTTTTAATTTAAACACCCAACCTCTCCATCGCAGCTGTATCCCTGAGAGTGGGAGGGGGGCTGCCATGGCAGCTGGCCCGCCTCCCCACACCGGGAATGACTAGAGGAATCTCAGCTTCATCTTTACTCTTCAGAGAGCAGGCCTTTCTCTGTGCAGCTGGAGAGACTGGTGAGCAGAGCTGGGTCCAGCTTCTTAAGAGTCCGAGTGGGGAGGGACTCTCAGGTGCTTCTGGGTTCAAGCTGAGCAAGCCTACACAAGACAGGGGTGTGGATGTACCAGCAGGAACTTCCAGCCCCCACCCCTCTTTGTCTTATCCGTGTGTTATGTGCAATGACCTATTTAAAGAGTAAACCCGCTCCACCTACGCCAATTCGGGGCTTATCCAAGCACTGCCTCCCTCCCCCTCAGAACAAGTTGCCTGGATCACAAGCTCAACTTGACAGGGAAGGCCTTGGGTGGAGGGCTTGTGACTGGAGAAACTGAAGATGGAGGCTTTGGTCAGTACTAATATGTATCAGACACAAGTCCTCACCCTGAGACCTGAGCCTGAGTCATTTTTCTTCTTCTAATCACCCTGCCCACACACATTTATCCAAGACATGACAATATGGGGACTGACAGTCCCAGTCCCCGCCCCCCCCACAAAAAGATCATCCCACCAATACCTCCAGACTTGGGGGCCCAAGGGCAGTGCCTGGTGCCGCTCCCATCTGCTGTCCCCCTCTTCTCTCCTGCAATTGGTTTGTACTCATTGGGCTGTGCTCTCCTCCCCGTTTACCTGATGTATGGAAATAAATGTCCTTTTTCTCCTGGCACTGCCAGTTTTCCTTCCTGTTCCTTCAGGCTCAGTAAAGTCCAGGGTCGGCACATGGGAGCAGAGCGAGGCTGCTGCTGAGGACCTGGGGGAGTCACCCTGGCCTCTGACCCGCTGCCGTGTCAGACCAGTGCCACTCAGAGAGCCTTGGCAGGTCATCTGGAGCAGGCAGAGTCAGTGGGTGAGAGAACTGGTCAAGAAAGACATAAACCTCCCTTTTGCTTTAAAAGCCTGAGGGTTGTAATTCAGGTTAGCAGAGCCGTCTAGGTCTTGTCCTACCCTGGCCTCTACTTGGGTATGTTGAGGTTACTCTGATTGTTAAATCTTGCCAATTACAGAAATCCTATCCTCTTTTTTAAGGATGCAAACATTTATCGGGTTTTTGCAAACTTTATTATTTTTGGCTGTGCTGGGTCTTCGTTGCTGTACTTGGGCTTTCTCTAGTTGTGGCGAGTGGCGGCTAGCTACTCTCCAGTTGGGGTGCTCAGGCTTCTCATTGCAGTGGCTTCTGTTTCGCAGCATGGGTTCTAGAGCACATTGGCTTCAGTAGTTATGGCCCACAGGCTTAGTTCCCCCATAGCATGTGGGATCTTTCCAGACCAGGGATTGAACTGTGTCCCCTGCATTGGCAGGCAGATTCTTAACTACTGGACCACCAGGGAAGTCCCAAAGATGACTTTCTGATCAATACTTGGCAGAACTCTCTCTGACCTCCAATCCCATGGGCCACAGGGCAATTTGAATAGGCTGGGTGTGCTGGCTTCTCCACCCTGCTTAATCTCTGCCTTCATGTCCAAGTCCACACTTGGTCCCCTCCCTGACAGCTGAGAGGCAGCTCATGCAAAAGGGCAAGAAACAAATTACCCTCCTCCTCCTCTACCTCTTGTAATATGACCAGTTATAATCCCTGCATGCATGAAGTATTTACAGCTGGTCAATCAGACTCCCCTGGTTTGGACAAGTAGGCAAGAAAGGGTATCAGACAGGCCTACTGCTGATGTCAGGCATCTAGAAAGGGGCAAGAAAGGGAAAGAGGGAGGGGGGAAGTCATCCCCAAAATGAATGGGAGTGAAGTGTGATGTGGCTCTATCGTGAATGAAAGAAACTGCCCTGAAGGTTGAATACAGAAAGTAGTAGAAGTGAAGTTACCGGGTTGTTTTTTTAACTGCTGACTCTTCATGTTCAGTTCTGTCATTCAAATCTTTTACTCCCGCTTTCAGCTAGTTTGGTGCATTTTTTCTTCCAAGGAACTAGTGTGACAAAAGTCGCTGCTACCTACAGGCAAGATTGCAACTCTGCTCACCCACACTGACTCGGGCCTCTAATTATTGAGAGAAAGTCCCAGCATCAACCTCTGATAGCCTGGCCTGGGGCAGAGGGATCTGTTCAAATCAGAAAATATGTATTATTCATCTGCTCACTCATTCAACAGTCAAATATTTCATCACTGCCTGGCTGTCGTCTGGACACTGTTCTAAGTGCTGGGGTGGGATGAGGTCCTGCCTGCATGAAGTGGATATTCTAGTAGAGGAGTTAGGCACAGAAAATATGTACCACCCCTCCTAATACGTACAAGCTTTGGGTGAGTATGGTAAAGCGTCTGCCCACAATGTGGGAGACCCAGGTTTGATCCCTGGGTCAGGAAGATCCCCTGGAGAAGGAAATGGCAGCCCACTTCAGTACTCTTGCCTGGAAAATCCTATGGACGGAGGAGCCTGGTAGACTACAGTCCATGGGATGGAAAAAAGTTGGACATGAGTGAGCAACTTCACTTTCCTTTTCCTTTTGGGTGAGTAGGGAGGAGTAAAACATAGTGTTTGTCCTCCAGGGACTCATGGATTAGGGCTAGGGCAGACCCCTTTGGAAATAATTACATGAGACATAAAAGGACAAAGAAGTTGCTTTGGGCCTGTTATAAGAGCAGACACTGTCACTGAGAGAGGAGGGCCAGGAACTGGGAAGGCTTCTAAAAGGAGCTGGTATTTTTGAGCTGGTACTTGAGTAAAGGATTGCACTTCCCAGGTGGCACTAGTGGTAAAGAACCTGCCCACCAATGCAGGGGTTGTAAAAGATGCAGTTTCGATCCCTGGAGGAGGGCACAGCACCCCACTCCAGTATTCTTGCCTGAAGAATCCCATGGACACAGGAGCCTGGCAGGCTACAGTCCATAGGGTCGCAAACAGTTAGACACAACTAAAGCAACTTGGCTCGCACGCACTCACGCATGCACTTCCACAGACAGATATTACTGTATAGGTGTGCTGGGAAGAAAAAACTTAAGCAAAGGCCCTGAGGCAGGGAATGCTAGATGGTGATGGGGAATTCCGCAGGGTGTCCAGAGAAGCTGGACATCACCTCACATGACCAACACTTCTCCGAGATGCAGCGAAGCCTCTTGGCCAGCGTGCTGGGCTCCAGACTGGGAAGGGGGCAATTCCCTCCACACCAAACTCCCCAGGGGAGCCCCGGGACCTGCAAGGCTATCAAAGCCCATCTTCACTCGGGATATGCCTTCTGAGCTCTCTAAGATCCTGCCCTCACCTGTACACTCATGGTTGCCTTGGTCCCTAAGATGTAAGTGATTCCCACAAAACAGGCAGCAAGTCTGTCCCTGTGCCAAGCTCAAAGCTGCCTCGCTAGATCCTCCTCTGTAATCTCAGACCACTGGGACCACTCTGACTCCTGGATAAGAGGCATGGGGGTGCCCAAAGCCCCGTGAGGCTTCCCATGGTGCCCAGTCTGTGCCCAGAGACAAGAGCAGCACGTGGTGATTCCCCGACTACCTCCTTTCGTCCTGTGTCCTCTTGGCAGACATCCCAGTTGTCCTTCCCCCAGGCCCCGCCCCCATGCCTGGTGGCACAGACACTTAGCGATTTGCTCCTTAATTGTCCCCCAGCTAGGCTGCGCAGATGCCGCTCTTTAATCTCTCCTGATAAATGAATCGCGCCGCTCCTTTAATCATATGTTCATATCCAAGCCAATTTGAATCAATTTGGCAGGGAGTATGTTGCAAGAGATGCCATGACTGCTGCTTCCTCCCCCCACCCCACCCCCCCAGGGCCCTGGAGCCCATGTGTCTGCTGTCCTCCCCCTCAGCAAAGAGCTCAAGAGGCTCATGGGGGAAGGACCTCCTACCTGAGTGATGGGGACTTTCCAAAGTCAGTCATTCCTTCCTGTCCTCCAAGCAGGCCCACATGGGACAGGAGGAAGATGGATTCCCAGAGGCCTCAGAAGTGGAAGAGACAGGGCGAGTCCACAGCCTTCGCTGGTCACTGAACAAAGCGCCCCATTATCACCCCTGGGAGAAAGTGCTGCCTTAAATCTAACCTTCATGCTTTCCATTCCCCTTTCATTTCCTCCGAGCTGGTTCTCAGGGAAGTTGTAACATTTCATCACCTCTTATATAGCAACCTATTCCAGACCAGCCTATGAAAATTTGTCTTTGCCTGCTCCTGCAACTGGCTGCTACCCCAATGCCTTTCATCTTTCCCCAGGAAGTCTTCTTTTCTACGTCCTCCGGGCTGGTGGGCAGTCCTGGACATGCTTGCTAATATACCAAGTTCTTCCCCATTTGGGGTTACTGCTTTTTTTCACCTACAGAGTGGTGTCCACAGACCCTCATGAAAACAAAACCAGTGCTCAATTGATCGCTTCTGCTGCCAGCACTGAGACCTTGGAGAAAGGCCTTGACCTCTTGAGCTTCAGTTTCCCCATCTGTAAAACGAGGTGGAATTGCTGGCAAGAAACTTTTGGTTCCTAGGTCCTTATAGAACCCCTCAATCCTGCCAACAGAACCTCTAACTCCCACCTCTTCACCACCTGCAGTGAGGGGCCAGAGGAACAAACGGGTGGCGCTAGTGGGGCCCCGAGACCCGCGGGCTGGGGGACAGATGTCTTACCCCAGCGCGAGGGCTGTCTGGGCCTGGTTCCATTCAGCAGCCGGGATGCACCTCCTGCGTCCTCTTCAGTTCTTTACCTTTCTAATGGCGGGTTCTGCGCGTTCAGGCCGGCGCCCCTCCGGTTCACGGCGAACCTGGGCATATTAGCATATTCATATTTTATTTTCTTGATCCCGGCCTCAGGAGCCTGGGACCTCTGGCTCCACTCCCGTCTGGAGGTTCCCCCGCCCCTTTTTCCGGAAGCCACGCCCTATAAAGGGCCGCTGACAGGACCGAATCGAGTCGTTGCCCTTGAAGGGTTCCAGAAGCCTAAGGAACCGGTTCCCTCGCTCAGCAACCTGATAGTACTGCTTCCCGCCCTTTTAAGGGCTCCTGGAAATCCTAGGGCTTCCCTGGTGGCTCAGAGGTTAAAGCGTCTGCCTGCAATGCGGGAGACCCGGGTTCGATCCCTGGGTCAGGAAAATCCCCTGGAGAAGGAAATGGCAACCCACTCCAGTATTCTTGCCTGGAGAATCCCATGGATGGAGGAGCCTGGTGGGCTACATTAGTCCATGGGGTCGCAAAGAGTCGGACACGGCTGAGCGACTTCACTTTCACTTTGGAAATCCTCATCGGGAGCTGAGGCTGAGGCTGATGTAGACCAGCCTCGCCTGTTAGGAGTGCTGCGGAGGACGAGGAGGGCTCAACCAATATAACCATCGTGAGCGCTAACTATGTCCCCAGTGCTTAAGCACTTCATAATCGCACTTAACCTTTGTCACAGCTCCGTGAAGTGTCCTTCCCCTGAGGACACAGGCTCAGGGAGGGTGATGTCTGTCCTAGCAGGGACCTCAGCTTGGCTCCAGCAACTGTCCAGGCGTCCCCGAGCTACTCTGGCCTTGTCAGAGGATGAAGGCAGGGGCGAGAAACCAAGAATTTTCCTGTCATGATCCTCCTCGCAAGTAGCTGTGTGCCTGGTCTTCACCAAGGCCTGCCCATAGGAAGGAAGCACTTTCTGACAATTTGGGGGGGTGGGGGTAGGGAAATGTCAACCTCACATTTGTGTTGCTCCTTACAATTCTCAGAGCATCCCCCATGTGTGATCACATTTGTGCTTCAAGAA